GTTTGTTTGTTGGTTTGTTTGTTGGTTTGTTTGTTGGTTTGTTTGTTGGTTTGTTTGTTGGTTTGTTTGTTGGTTTGTTTGTTGGTTTGTTTGTTGGTTTGTTTGTTGGTTTGTTTGTTGGTTTGTTTGTTGGTTTGTTTGTTGGTTTGTTGGTTGGTTTGTTTGTTGGTTTGTTTGTTGGTTTGTTTGTTGGTTTGTTTGTTGGTTTGTTTGTTGGTTTGTTTGTTGGTTTGTTTGTTGGTTTGTTTGTTGGTTTGTTTGTTGGTTTGTTTGTTGGTTTGTTTGTTTGTTTGTTTGTTTGTTGCTGTTGTTGCTGTTGTTGCTGTTGTTGTTGTTGTTGTTGGTGGTGGTGGTGGTGGTGGTGGTTGTGGTTGTGGTTGTTGTGGTGGTGGTGGTGGTAGCGGTGTTGGTGTTTATTGTGACCATTGTAATTTTTTGCTGCAACGCTGGGCTTCAAAAGCAAACTCCGATAGTTCGGCGAACTTTGCTTGTTCAAGATACCAAGCTCGCAGTGGGGTCCAGAGCGGGGATGTTTGCAAACTTCAGGAAGGTTGGCTGGCTTTTGCAACAGGTCAACCTTCACGCGGGTCAAGCGTAGCCTTGAAGGCGCGTCAGAAAAACATCCAATCTTGCTCTGCCACTTTGCCTGAAGGCGTTGTGAAGCAGGGCGCCGCCTGCATGAGCCGTTTGCAGAAGTCAGCAGCCCGCTAACATGGCGCCACAGTTTGAGAAGAGCATGAGACGATCATTATCCCCACTCGTATAGGCATGGTGGTGCTGGTGAATTATTCGCATGCTGCGCTTTCGCGATACATTAGGTTAGTGCTGCAGGTGTCCCAAACTTGATGATGCCCTTGTGGATGGTTTTGAAGGAACAGACCTCCCCATTGGGAGGGGTAAGACGTAGCAAACAGGCAAGCAGAGTGCATTGCCAGCAAAGGAACACAATGGGAATTTGCTGTGCTCCAGTCATGCCACAGTAATGTTTTGCCGTATTTGTCACAATTTTTGTTTGCAGTCACCTCACCAACTTGGTGACAGGGTGCAAGACAGTGCTGTAGGAAATTCTGCAGGTGTCCTTGTGCACAAGGAAACTAGTGACAGTGACAGTGCGACTCTTAGTTTCGCTTTGATTGGCTCTGTTGGCACGGGTCAGAAGCAAGCGCTCACGTGTTCCTTGCACGTGCAGACTCAAACGCCCGTCGCTTGCTCCTTTGCCTACTTGCCCCCTTGCCCATCCGCCCACTCACTTGCCCCTCCCCTCAGGTCCGCGCGCTTGCAAGACAAACAAAGACATGCGTGGATACGGGCATTCACAGACATACACCGACGAAGAACGCGCTAAAGCCCTGGCGCGGACATGCAGGTGCACGCGCACGGATAGACTATTATACACACACACACACACGTGCCGCCACGCCTATTCGCTTGCCCAAGAACGTACATGCACAAGCAGGCACGGGAGCACACTTGCAGCCCACAGATCTTGCAAAGACCATCCTTTTTGCTCATTCTATGTCCTTCCCTACTCCGTTCCGCCCAGACCAGTCCATTTTCATCCTGTTTACTTTCTCCCTCCAGAAGCCAACTGAATCTGCACAGCCTAGGCACGAGCCGAGCACTGTCCACAAGAGTAAGGATGGGCGAAAACTTACCCCGACCCGACCCAACCGACGAACAGCTCATCAATCATCATGCAAAATACTTTCAGCATGGAATCAGCCAAGCTGTGAGTGCCTGCATGGCATGTCTCTGCTTCGGCCCAAGCGTTTGGCTGCGACCTGGGGATTGATCACATTTGTGCAGCTCCAGAAATGGGGACCGCCCACATCACGCTAGGCACAGGTGCACTGATCACACTGGCAGGACGTGGAAAGAGCGGCCTCGCCGATTTGTAGAGCCTCCCTTGGCAGGCTTCTGAGTTGGCACCGATGAATCAGAGTGATGTTCAACAGTTTGCATTTTTCTTCCCAGGTCACTCATATTGAATGCTTGGGCTTTAGCCAAGCAATAACAAAGGCACTCGGGCTTGCTCGTTTAGTCTCGTGTGAGCTATGCGTCCTTCAAGGAGCGAAAGGCGGCCAAACCCGACAGCGATGCTGCTGCTGAACGCCCTGCGCTTAATTTTTGGCATAGCACAACGGAAAGCCGGCGCTTGTCACCCAGGATTAGGACCTGCTATGACTCAGCCTAATAGGCAGAGAGAGCTGCAAGAGATTTTGGTCTGTCAGGGGCCATGTTCTGGACAGGTACTTCACTTTGTTCACGAAGACAACGTCCGGGCCTGCTGGCATCCCGGCATGGCATCTTGCATCAACTCGATTGTGAGTTGCAGGCTTAGACCTGCAGGCTGATGAATAGCTTGCTCTGGTATTTAGTGGCTCAGCTGTTTGGCAAAGGCCATTTCCCGGACGAATAGAGTTCTGCAATGTGATGTTGCTGCTTATCATCCCAGCCCTCAAAGCCCTCTAGATTTCTCAAGTAGTTGCCTCACTCGCTTGCTCTTAGCACTGTCTCAAAGCTTGCATCCTGGCTGCATGCAGCCTGAAAGCTGCCATGGTGATCGCAGAAGCTGTGGCCGGAGCTGCTGCAGGAATTGCTGCTGATATTTTGCTGGATTTTCTGCCGGGCAGTATGCGGACACACACACACACACACACACACACGCACATATGCAGCGATATTGTGGCTACATACACTCTTTCGTGGAACCAGGAGCCCATGCCTTATGGGACTACAACCGGGGCAATTTCCTGTACGATCGCAAAATGCGCCAAGAGACTGAACTCAAAATTCTTGAATGGTGACTTGGCCGCAGCAAATCAGCCATGAATGAAGGTGCTTGCCATGCACACTATTGTCCTGCCGTTCTCCACACTGCAGCCAGGCTTTCGAGTGAAGACTGAGCATACGGAGTATACATACTAACTAAGCAAAGCTGCAAAGAGTTCACATGTTACTCCGTCTTGTTTGGGAACACCCTTGCTTTACGACGGTTCGAGTTCAGCCTTTTGCAGCCAGCCAATAAACTTGGGTGTCAACAGGCAGACTTCGCCGAGGCGAGCCGAGATGTCTGAATTGTGGCGGGACGACGTCCGAGATATCGTTGGCCTGACAGAGAAGAAAATGGCTTTCGCCCCAGCAATTCTGAACGCGAGCATGCTGCTTAATCTAGCACAGCTTAGGACAGCTATTTGATTGTGTCAACGCTTCTCCTGGGTATGTGCTTAGGCTTGGTCGGCAAATGTGTGCCCTTCAGCACGCACGACACGATTGCATGTGCACATGCCACATCTGTATTTCGGGGACTGATAAATCATCGGGAACACTGCATTGTGCACGCCGTTCAAACGCAGGCCTGTTCACAGAAGGACGACTGCAGCCTGGAACACCGCCATGGCTGATCCATTTCTATACTTTGACATTGTCTGCGTCCTTCATGTACCTGCGGCTGGGTTGAAGACCGGCCTTCCATTAGCTCATACTTTGGTGATGGCACCTCAAAGTCAGCACGCTGCAGTGTGTAGAAAGAGCGACTGTAAGTCTACTGCATACTGCGTCATGGAAGTTTTGTCTAAGCTGGTTTAGCAGCGGGGTCCAGGCGAACAGGTCCGCTGTACACAGTGTGGGTAGCTCCGAAATCATCTTTAAACATGTTCATCAAAATCAGATATTTCTACACAACTCATGTACAAAGACGACATCCAAGTAATGCACAAGGAATAGCCATGCAGATATTATCTGAAACAATTGATCAGAATACAGGTCAGCAATACTTAGAAGCTCCACAGGAAATATATACCAAAGACTCCTGTGCAAAGAAAGCGCTGCTGTTTTTGGTACAAACACTCACGTAGTGTTAATTGCGCAGGAAGTACACGTTTGGCCGAGCATATTAACGACTCAGGGAGCAGCAAGGATAAGAGATCACAGGCTTGTTACAGAGTATCAGTTGCGAAAGTAGAAAAAAGGCTAGCTCTAGATACTGCAATGCCATTTGTGCACAGAAGCATCAAACAACTAATATCAACCCCGAAAGGACGAGGAGTTCCAAACGAGTCTTTATCTCTACTAAACAATGATGATTTTCCAAACACACATATTATATATATATTATTATATATATATATAATATATATATATATATGTATAATATGTATATATATATATGTATGTATAATATATATATATATGTATATATATATATATGCTCCCCCCCCCCCAGGGCCTACCTTTCCACTTCAAAATGTACAAAACCCTCTTATTTTTAAAGACAGGGGGTGTGAGCATATATACGCAAGAAGTGTGCTGTTGCTGCATATTTGTTTGTGGGTGACAAGTCATGTTGAGTAACAACAGCAAAGAGTTTATAAACTTTCAAGACAGTTTATAAACCATGTCAAGGGTTTGACGGTTTCCCTGCAACAAGGGCAGGGGGGGGTACTGAGAAGTCTTTACAAAGTTGGCTGAGTCACACCTCACTGCTAAGACTTCCAGCCACCCCCCCCCCTCCCAAGATCCAACCAACCCCCCCCCCCTCCTTCAACGATACCATGAACCTTGAAACACTCAATAAGGTTTATAAACTTTCCTGAAAGTTTATAAACCTTCTGTAGGCTTATTGCGCAGCAAGTGGAGACTGTTGTTTGGGAAAAAAAGGACACTCATTTGAGGCCTTCTTTGATGTGGTTTGGGCATGTGGTCCTAAAAGGTTGATGATTGTGTGTGTGTCATCACTGCTGCACTGTTATATCAAAGGCTGTCCATTCGGTCCAAGGGAACACAATCTGAGCAACTGCTGCAAAACACTCTGTTTTACAGCATTTTGTTGGATCTCTAATCCCTTGACATGTCCAATTTGAAACACCTGAAACCTAGAATCTGGAGATCAGAATCCTCGAGATGTCTAATGTTGGATTATCCAAGCCTCATATTTTGGAGCTGGGAGTCCTCCAACATTTTTAAATATAGATTCCTTTCCAAATACTGCGAATTGAATTGGAATGTTGAAGGGAAAACTGTTGTTTGGGGAAAACAATCTTCGGTCCAAGGGAACACAATCTGAGCAACTGCTGCAAAACACTGTGTTTTACAGCATTTTGTTGGATCTCTAATCCCTTGAAATGTCCAATTTGAAACACCTGAAACCTAGAATCTGGAGATCAGAATCCTTGAGATGTCTAATGTTGGATTCTCCAAGCCTCATATTTTGGAGCTGGGAGTCCTCCAACATTTTTAAATATAGATTCCTTTCCAAATACTGCGAATTGAATTGGAATGTTGAAGGGAAAACTGTTGTTTGGGGAAAACAATCTTCGGTCCAAGGGAACACAATCTGAGCAACTGCTGCAAAACACTGTGTTTTACAGCATTTTGTTGGATCTCTAATCCCTTGAAATGTCCAATTTGAAACACCTGAAACCTAGAATCTGGAGATCAGAATCCTCGAAATGTCTAATGTTGGATTCTCCAAGCCTCATAATTTGGAGCCTGGAGTCCAACATATCCAAGTACACATTCCTTTCCAAATACGATTGTTGATCCGAATTGAATTTGCATATTGAATAGAATTTAGTAAGCACATAGTTCACCACCATTCATAATTCACCATAATGTCTATATTAGATCAGAATTTGAACAGGAATACCTTTCCAAATAAGGAAAATATCATTGCAGTAGAATCCAAATATACTTTAATGCAGACAGAGTTCAATTAGCTTTTGAACATAATAATTTAATTAAGAATCCATCCCCAAATACAACTTGAATTGGAATATAGCTTATTCTGGAAAGAAATCACTTGGCCTTTGCAAACCAATTTTAATAGTAACTCATTCCCAAATATGATTTAGCTTAAATGTGGCTAAACAACTAAAGGGCACATATCCCCAGACTCCCAAACTTGGTCTGGAGATGTGTTTGGCATGTGCAGGTCTCAGAGCTTTCATTTTCAGGAGATTTTGTGCTTTTGGGTCTGTGCAGGTTGCAGAGCTCAAAGCTGCCAAAAACATCATTTGTTCAAGGTTTTTCCCTGGTGTACTCAAAACCACTGTAAAAACCAGTGATTCAATCAAAGCCAGGCTCGAATCTGAAAACGGAATCCGTTTTCGCTTTGCTGCCTTTCAAGCCTCAAAGAATCAGACATCTGCTGTCATATAGAAGGTAAAACAAACAACAAAACACTGTATTTTACAGTGTTTCAGGCATCTGCAAGAAAGAGGCACACAGAGTAGAGTTGACACCTTCAACTAGAAGAGGGCAAAGGTAGGCCCTGGGGGGGGGGGTGACCATATATATATATATATAATATATGAAGCGATGAGTGCTTGATGAACCAGACACTTAACTTTCAATCCAAATATGCCTTTCACTAAAACTGATGAATCATATGTTGTTACACAACCACACATAAGTCTATTACACCAAACACATAAATATAAGACACGAAAACTCTTTCTGAAGGCAATTGAACAACTACATTACACTTCGGTGAATCACATAAACTAGGTTGAATTTATGTCACATGCCTTTTCTGAATTGTAAGGACTTTAATTTCAAGAAGAACCGCATAACAAAAACAGCAGCAAGCCTAACTGGACATGTGAAGCTCATACCTGATTTCAACAGTTAGCCTCAACAGTGCTTGTTGCAAATCTTTTTGCCTTGGTCACATGCTCCTAGCCCTATCCTTGGCTTTCGCAGGGATTCGTGGGAGGGGCCTGCAGTTCGCAGAAGCTTGCCGAGGGGCTTTACCGTTTAAGCGTTTTACCCTGCAAAGTCCTCCCCAACTGGAAATATTTGAAACACAAGCAAATTTCACGACCAACATATTGTAAAAATGCGTTGTTTAACACCATTCACTAATATCTGATATCCACCAACTTTTTGCATACCATGTATAACATATATTTTTATACTTATTATTTAAGCAACCCCCCCTCCCCCCCCCCCCCCCGGCCCCGCGGTTTTGCCGTTTTACCTGCGTGTTGTCTCTGGGGAAGACTCAACAACACCAGATCACCGCCTAACCAGCAAATGTTTTTGTAATTCCGGTACCAGTAGATTAGAGCCGGCGAAGCTGGTTTGCAGAAATTTCAGACACGATAAGAGCTGTAGTGATCTTCTTTCTCTTAGTCCCTGTCTTCCTCTTTTATCTTTCTCTTCTTGCTCCCTTCACTTTCTCTTTGTCATCTTTCTTTCTTTCTTTCTTTCTTGGCTTTCTTGGCCTTCTTGGCTTTCTTGGCTTTCTTGGTCTTCTTGGCTTTCTTGGCTTTCTTGGCTTTCTTGGCTTTCTTGGCTTTCTTGGTTTTCTTGGCTTTCTTGGATTTCTTGCTATCTTGCTTTCTTGCTTTCTTGCTTTTTCTTTCTCCTTCTTGTTTTCTCTCCCTCTCTCTCTTCTTTCTTTCCTTCTTTCTTTCTTTCTTTCTCCCTTTCTTCCTTTCTTCCTTTCTTTCCTTATTTCTTTGTTTCTTTTTCTTTGTTTCTTTCTTTCTTTCTTTCTTTCTTTCTTTCTTTCCTTCTTTCTCTCCTTCTTTCTCTCTTTCTTTCTCTTTGTCTCTTTGTCTTGTTCCTTGTGACTCCTCTGTCTACCCCTCTTTCTTTGTCTATCTAGTTGTCCAATAATCAAAATTTATATCCTTCTATCTGTTTGTCTGTCCTATCCATCCATCCATCCATCCATCCATCCATCCATCAATCCATCCATCCATCCATCCATCCATCCATCCATCCATCCATCCATCCATCCATCCATCCATCCATCCATCCATCCATCCATCCATCCATCCATCCATCCATCAAATCTATATATCTATCTATCTATCCATCCATGTATCTATCTATCTATCCATCCATGTATCTATCTACCTACCTACCTATATATCTATCTACCTATCTATCTATCTATCTATGTATCTATCTGTTTGTCTGTCTGTCTGTCTATCCGTCCATCCATCCATCCATCCATCCATCCATCCATCCATCCATCCATCAAATCTATCTATCTATATATCTATCTATCTGTGTGTCTATCTGTCTATGTATATATCTCTCTCTCTATCTCTATCTATCATCTATCTTATCTATCTATCTATCTATCTATCTATCTATCTATCTATCTATCTATCTATCTATCTATCTATCTATCTATCTATCTATCTATCTATCTATCTAATCTATCTATCTATCTATCTATCTATCTATCTATCTATCTATCTATCTATCTATCTATCTGTCTATCTATCTATCTATCTAATCTATCCATCTATCTATCTATCTATCTATCTATCTATCTATCTATCTATCTATCTATCTATCTATCTATCTATCTATCTATCTATCTATCTAATCTATCTACCTATCTATCTTTCTATCTATCTATCTGTTTGTCTGTCTGTCTGTCTGTCTGTCCGTCCGTCTGTCTGTCTGTCTGTCTGTCCGTCTGTCCGTCTGTCCGTCTGTCCGTCTGTTCGTTTGTCTGTCTGTCTGTCTGTCTGTCTCTCTCTCTGTCTGTCTGTCTGTCTGTCTGTCTGTCTGTCTGTCTGTCTGTCTGTCTGTCTGTCTGTCTATCTATCTATCTATCTTTCTTTCTACACATACATACATACATACATACATACATACATACGTACATGACTCTCTCTCTGACTCTGTGTATCAATGTGTCCATCTTCTGTTTCCTTTCTCGAGGGGCGGCAACGTTTTGAGGAGCTGATGTGCGAGGCGCTGTCGCGTTCTGAAGCCCAGGCAGTGCCAAACTGCTGTGCCTGCCACGAAATCTGCGCCTGACCTTGCGGCAGTGGTTCGCCTGCCACGAAATCTGGCCGGCCTTGCAGAAGCGTTGCCCCTGCCGCAAAGTCAGCTTGCGAAAGGGCTGTGCTTTGCGGCTGCCGCACAATGTGTGCGCTACCTTGCGAAAGTAGTGCGCCTGCCGCGAAATCTGTACTCAACCTGCGAAAGCGTGTCACAAAAGCTGTATTTGGCCGTGCGAAAGTGCTGCGCCTGCCACGAATCTATGCGCCTCTGCAAAATATGCAGCTGACCTTCCGAGAGCGATGCGCCTGCCACAGAAAAAGCGCTGCGCCTTCCACGAAATGTGCACCTGACCTTGCCAAAGTGCTACGCCTACTACGCAAACGAATGTTTCAAACAGCGCGCGCGTCCGTGCCAATGAGCCTGGCTCCGAGTGCGCTTCGACTCCGACCAAGCGTCGCGATCAGGCTAAACTTTCAAGCGTCTGAAGAAAGTGAAGCCCGCACAAGGCTGCGCTTTCCGGACATTTCTACTTCAATTTGGTGTCATATCGTCTGTTTGGGTGCACGCGCAAAATGCATAATGCGCTACGGATGGCGTGACGTATGGCGCGTAGAGCCTGAGATGGCACATTGACGACCGCTGGGCGCAGGGTATTTTTGATGTCAAAGGGCAGTTTGAATACTGGGCACCCACGCCCACACGGACACAGACCTCGGTCCGGGCCTGGGCCCGGACCCCCCGGACCCACACGGACAAGGGCACGGGCAGGGGCTCGGGCACGGACACGGACACGGACGCACAGACACGGACACGGGCGCTGGCATGGGCATTGGCACGGACACGGGCACGGGTACGGACACGCACACGCACACGCATACAGCACACAGCGCACACAACACACACACAGACAGAACACACAACACACACACACGCAACACAACATACAACACACAACAATCACACACACACACATCACACAACAAACACACTCATTTTGTGTGCTTCCCAACTTGCATGAGGCTTCTGTCTATTTGGCTCGCCGTGCAGCTTTGACAGCAATAAGAGTGATAGGCTCAACGCATTCGAGTCCGGGGGCTTTTGCCGCTTGCACCCAGCTTGCAGGCATGCTTCGATTGTTGCCCAATGCTCGGCAGTTCGAATTCTTACACAATTTGTGCGCCTTCCAATACCAACGTGGGAGGCAGACACTATGTTCCAGTTGTCAGCGTGACATTGTGCCTGTTAGCAGTGCAGGCACTTCAAAACATGCGGACCTTTGCGCCGGGACCTGCGAAGACCGCGAGGATTGGCTGATGTCTAGTGTGATGTCAGGTCCAGCTATGAGAAGCTGGACGCCAAAGACATGTTGCGAGTTCCCTTCACCAGGACTGGCTGTGCTCCATGGAGCAACGCGCCTGTTGTCTCGGTATCCCTTCTGACGCTGCCATTGTTTTTGAGAGGAACCCAAGTGCAAAGACAATGTCTATGCCAAAGACTCCAACGGCAGAAAAGACTCCAATGAGTCCAGAGAGACCTAGCCGACGGCCCAGCTTCTGCTTCATTGGTACTTGTTTTTGGTCAAACTGGGTTTTAGGTGTTGCAAGTGCAGCTACTGGGCCAATCGACCCTTGGAGACTGGAGCAGCACTCCGAGGACGCAAGGATGCTGAGGGTAGCAATGTGAACAATGCACCCGCCCTAGGACCGGCACTTGTACGAACTTCAGCACATGCCTGCTCTCAGGAGGCCATGAGTTTGTCCATTTGTAGCTTGCAGCTAAAAGGTCCTTTAGGAGTCACTTGTCTCTGCGGCATCTTCAAGCTGATCAGGCGGCATGTGCGCCTGGCCAGGCAGGGACTGTCAGAGCATCGAAGCTTGGGATGCACTTGTGGATTCTCTTCAGGCAAGCCGCCCAAGGGTACCAAGCCTATGATGCCTTTGCACGGGTATCTGTTGCCTTCGGCACACATCAGCTTATGCTCTCGCCGGGCACCAAGAAAATCATCCCTTGTTTGGGCGCTGTCTGCTCGAGCGTCCTCTTTGCTACGAGGGCATACCGTTGTGGGTGGTCTCACTTTGCCTTGAGCCATGCAGATGTGGTTTGGAACCATCGTGAGTGATCACTGTGGGAAGAGCCTCGGGGGAGGCACTGAGTCTCGAGGATGTCACGCGGTCTTGCCTATATGCGGCCAGTTCGGGCTGTTTTGCCCAACGGCGCTGACAAGCGCAGTGACAGTGATTCTCCTGTCCCTGCGCTCTGGGTCTGGAGCCTGAGGGGCACTCCAAGTGGAGGCAACATTTGCGAGGCTTCCTGTGAAGTCGGGAGGAATGGCGCCGTGGGCAGGGCTCTGCGCTTCTCACGCAAAGTGCAGTAGCTTCAACTTGCCCGCCCGCTCACCCTTTGTGAGAGTTTATCGGAATGCTTTGTGGTTTCTCGTAACTTTCAGCTCACTGCGTGAGGACTTTACGCTGCAATATGTGTTTTGCACGGCAAGCGCCTAGATTGTGTATTTTGCTTTAGAAGCGATCCGATTTGTGACCATACGGAAGACGCATTCCGCGTGCCAGCATTTGGAAGAATGGAGGCCTCTTTGTTGGGAGCTTTCGGCACCAGTGCAAGTTGGTTGGTCCAATGTTGACGTCACAGCCGTGGCGCTGAATGATGTCTTTGGGAAGCAACCGCACCTTCAGCGATATTGTGTTGCAAAATGTAGCTTCATTGGGACCAGTTTCGGCGCACTATGCCCAGGCTTTGCTACTACTGCCTTGGCTACATAGCACTGCAGGATCGCTTATGCAATTCAAGATGGGAAGCGGTTTGAAACGGAAGCGAGCAATTGCATTGCTGGTGCGTGCAGGATGGCGCGCCCTGGGCATCAGTCGGAGTGCGCCTTGAGGATGTACAAATCATCCATTGCAGAATGCGCAAGCAGCCATTTGGATTGAAGCAGCATGGAGTTAGCAGGCGCACGTTTGGTGAGGTACTGGGCCTGATGTGTGTAATGACTGTCTCCCTTGTGCAGTTGGACTTCGAAATGAGTCGCAAGGCCGCGCAATCATTTGATGCGATGACTAACAGTCAGAAACGGCCATTATGACATTGCCATGTTCAGAGATTATGTTTTGAGCAGCCGATCTCGGCCTGCTTTGCAGGAATTTTACTTGGCAATTCTTCTGATAGCTGCTGGTCCTGTGTGCACCGGTGCTGCCACCTATACCTGGGTGGTATACGGCTTTGCTCTTAATCCAAACATGCGGCCATTCATGACTGTATTGTGCGCTTTCTCACCTGCCAGGAATTCAGGCCAGAATCCTTGTGATGGCTGCAGCCTTATTTGCGAGTAAATTGCATGCGCTGGAAGTAGGCACTGGTGGCAGGAGTAGAGGGGCACTGCTCCCTGTAACTTTGCAAGGTGCTCTTGCCTTTGACCTATGCCTCGCATGGGCTTTGGTTGTTCTTTGCCCTGGTTGCCTGTGGACTGGAAGTACAGCCAAAGACAGGAGATGCTTGGCCTATATGTAGTTGTATACATATTACATGCATAAATAAATATATATATATAGCTGCTGCAAAAGTGTTGCTCAATGATCTACTGTGGCAGTTGCATGCTTTGCATTGCGATGCTCAGGTAATTCTGCCCCAAAGATTTCGGGCAGTGCTGTACATGGACGTGTTTGACGTACGCAGAAAGCAGGCTTCTGCAGCACAAGGCACGCTGAACACTGAATTGCTTAAAAGCACTAGTGCACTTGTCCCGTGCACTTACCTTTCCTTGGAGCATGTTCTCGCACGATCAAACAGTTGTTTCTTCACAGAACCGAACACGAATTTTATGTTCACTCATGAGCAGCATTTTCCCCCAGTTGTTTGCATGTGTGAAATCACAGTGAGATGGAGAGAAAGGGAATGTAAGAGTCGACTTGCATGCTTCTGCATCATGGTCAAACACGGGTAGATAGGGAGGGCCGTCAACCCTTTAGTGAGAATTGAAGACAATGACCACCAGGGCTTATTTGGAGGGATCCAGGACTCCTGATTGATAATGCCACATGTTCTGCAGGCGAGCACTCCCCAGACGGAAGCCTGCCCATGCAGATGCCTGATTCACAGCTACGCGTTGATCTTGTTGCATGAAATCCAAAGCTTGCGTCTATTTGTTGTCGTGGAGCATGCAGAAATTTGAAGTTGGAGCAGCTGACCAGGAGCAGCCAAATGTGCGTAAAAACCCGCTTGCAAAGGCAAGAGCAAGAGAGCGCTTCAAGAGTCAGCGGCTCAAATGTTCTGACTCGAGCAGCACAAGACATTGCGATAGTGCCAATGTACCAATACCCAAGCCTTGCAGCACTGCAGCATCAAAAGTGCATGTTGGTCGTTTTGGGGTCAAATTGCCACTGTGACGGCTTGAGCTTAGACTTCTTCAAAAAATGGGTGCATCCATGCCATGATGTCAGCTCTTATTTTGACACCAGTGCTTATGGTGGTCGCATGCTGTTGAAGCTTAAGCTTCACGCGTATGTTCACCAAAGTGAGGAGCAGAGCCGCAGTCTTCGCGAATTGAAGCGTGAGATTGAGGCAGGGACGAGATTCCTAAGTCCAGCTGTAGCTAAGTGTGGTAGGCGACCATGAAGCTCTTCCAGTCCGAAACGGTCAAAGGGGCAATGGACCATGCCGACACTCAGCTGCAACAATTTGAGTGATGTGCTATGCGTTGATTGGGTGTGCTTCATTATGTCATTGAGTCAGGATCGTGAACGTGCAAACGAGCTTGTGGACCGTGCGCTAAAGGCTACCAAGAGCGAGGCAGTGCAGCGACCGCAGCGTGTTCAGTTTCTGCTTTTCTTAGTTTGCCTCAGGTTTCTAGTTTTTTTTTGCCTCACAGAGTCTACGAGGAGAAGAAGACATCGACATCATCGCCTTGCGCATCACGGTTGCACTCAATGGCTTCCATAGATGAGGAGAATACTCTGTCGCAGGTGCTTGGATGCCATGTGCCATGTTTCATCACCTTGCACAATGTGTCTTTTCAACTCATGTGCAGCATGTGCACGCTTCAATACAGGACAACTTTGTTCTGATGAAAGGGTACACCGACTTCGGCGCAGAAGTGGAGTATCTTTACAACCCCAAGAGTGGTGAGGCTGCTGATTCAAACCGATTTCTCCAGTGACATTTGCCAGTTTTTGCAGGCTCGGCCTTTGGAGGAGGTCGGGGCCCCGCTACAAATTTGTTGCCTTTCCTCTTTGGCAAATTTCAGGATGAAGTGCTCAATGAGCCGACCAGCCCAGGCTGATTGTCGGTCAGTTTGCATGGCACATGATTGTGGCAACGCTGTCAGGAGGCCTGACGCAGGCTTCATCAGTCAAGACTGAGGGTCAGAAGGCTGTAGTTGGCAAGTAGATCTTGCTCTGAGCTGCACGAGTATTGTTCTTTGAGGTGCGAACCATGACAGAATTTGATGCGGCCATAGAAGAACTCTGTCAGCTCCTTGTTGCGGAGAGCAATCTACGCCCACGTGTGAGCGTGCAAGCAGTCTCCAGACGTAGTCTGGTCAGACTGGCTAGCCAAGGCGTGCATCAGCGCAAGGCCAAGCCGGATACGGCATACTTTTGAGCAGCATAGCATGCAGTAATATTGCTCTGGAATCGGCACAGTAGCGTGCGTAAACTTTGCCCGCACTAGCGTGCGTACGTATCAAGGTTGCTGAATACATGCATCGCTAACGGTTGGTGTCATCTTTGCATCTAGAGCAGGCCACGAGTTGAATTCATTGTGGCTATGAAACACAACCACCATATCGACTGGCGAGTCTTTGCTCGGATTTACTTGCATTAAGCAACAATGATTCGCAATACTGGCTGAAGATTAAATACCCTTGCAGCTCACAACTAGTGGCAGCCAGGACCACGCTCATTGTGATGTTTGCTCAGAGTGCGAAGAAGTGCAAGCTTTGCGTAGATGGTGTGATGCTGTCAGCAATAGTCGGTCGATGCAATAGGTTGACGGGGTGTTGTATACTGAGAATGTGAGTGAATACTGTACATTTCTGTATGTTTTTGGCTTCATCAATCCTTTGACAAGGATCACTATCACTGGTGCTGCCAGGAAAGGCTGCCAAAGGAGGCTTGTAGTCTCGAGTAGATTGATCAGCAAGGGTCAAGTCATCGGGTTCGACCATGGCTTGGAGTATTGACATCACCCTCAGCATTGGCTTGGCAGGCTTTCCGAAGATCTGAGAGCATCATCATGCATCATGTGAAGAAGGTGGTGACGCCCGTAGTCAAAGCAGTGATCCCAGAGATCTCTGAAGAAGATGAGGAGGCTGCAAGGGGTTGTCTTTGCGCTTATATAGTTCCTTCACCGCGAGGGCTTCTCATGCTGAATGCAGACTTTATCAGCTGCACAAGGAGCAAGCCCACCTGATCTCGCGTGACATCACACAGGAAGGGATTCCAGCACCTTCAGGCACATGCTGTTGACCGCGTGCCTTTGTGTGCCCCCAGGGTTCTTGGTAGATGCAGGAACTGTCAAGTGCACAACAGTCGCCCAGGGCAAATGTCAAGCACCCACGCAAAGTTCGACGCGCTGACCTTCATACCTGATGACAATAGGGAGTCTGAAGAATCGGAGGCACCTGGGTTGCTACTGTACAAGCAAAGGGCAAGCCACATCTGGGGCATTGGTGGAAGTCTGATGTGCAAAATTGATTGCAAACAGCAATATGTCTTTGGCTTGAAGAGGCTGAGTGATGTGGTCAGTCGCTTTCCCAGCCCGAAATCCGGCCAGATTGTCAGCGGTCACGACAAGGTAGATCCTCGCAAGTTTCCAGCAACAGCCCGCTACTGAGTTGTGGGCGCGGGTGCGTTTTGAGTTTGTTTTGTGCGTCCAGCATTTGGTCCACGCAGGGCAGTTCATCCATATATGTAATATTATACATGATGTTTGCTTGTGTTGCCTCGTTGTGCTTGGCTTGAATGCTTGTCGTTGTTCTCCCCTTTTCTCCCCTGTTCTCCTCTGTTCTCCTCTGTTCTCCTTTGTTCTCCTCTGTTCTGTCTCTGCCTCTGCCCGTCTGTCTCTGTCTATCTGTCTGTCCCCGCCCTCTCCTCTGAGGAAGTGTGAAGTGTGCTAGACGTGGCTGTTTGGGCACGGTCTGTGCACACAGCGGCAGCCCCTGTGGCTTGAGCAGGCTAGTTGGGTTGTTTTTTCGATCTATCCAGCCATGCTTCATCGCGCGTCTTCATTTGTTCAGCTTCAGTGACCCATCTTGCCTTTTATTAGGCTGATGCGGGCGATTTCTTTTCATGTTTTTGCTCATTATTTTCATCATTACGTTGTTGACCAACGCTTGGCAGGCAGCTAGAGTCTGTCTTGTCGGTCTTGTCTTGTGTCGTCTCGTCTCGCCTTGTCTTGCCTTGTCTCGTCTCGTTTCGTCTTGTCTCGTCTTGTAAGTCTGGGCTTGTCTTGTCTTGTCTTGTCTTGTCTTGTCTTGTCTTGTCTTGTCTTGTCTTGTCTTGTCTTGTCTGTCTTGTGTGTCTTGTCTTGTCTTGTCTTGTCCTGTCTTGTCCTTCTTGTGTTATCTTCTCTTCTCTGCTCTTGTGCGTCTTGTCCGTCCGTCCAGTCAGTCAGTCAGTCAGTCAGTCAGTCAGTCAGTCAGTCAGTCAGTCAGTCAGTCAGTCAGTCAGTCAGTCAGTCAGTCAGTCAGAGTCTCAGAGTCTCAGAGTCTGTCTGAGTCTGTCTGAGTTCTTTCATTTGATTTGGTTCGATTTAGTTCTGATTTAGTTTTGGTTGGGGGTTTCTTTGGTCTTGACCGGTTGGATGTGTCACTGGCTTGATGAGGTTCTGGCTTGGTTGACTCAAGCCATGCCCAAATGCACTTCAGTACGCTACCCCGAAACAAGCCCTTCCCCATCACCGCTGAATAAAGACCATTCTCCAGCCCAAAATGCTACCAGGTGTTGCATGGGAGAACGAGAAAGAGACCCTGACCAAAGCAGACACCAACCTATTCATTTGGTAGGAGTCAAGCAGCGTGTTGAGCCAGCGCACAAATGACGACTTTCTCAATGTAGGGTTGAAAGCGCGGGAAGCAAGGTCTTTCGCCTCGCCGGGGCCTGAATTTGAGAATGGTCATCGCGCAATGAGCACCTGGACTTCATGCTGACTCTTGCGTGGCCAGGCAACACTGCTGATGGTTTCTTTGTGGACTGTGGGACTGATGGTTCCATTTGGTGCCCCGCAGAGCTGTTTTCCAGTCTAGCAGGCACGCGTCGCCCCTCAGGTGTTCTCCGGGAGTTCATGACAAAACCTTTGGTGATTGACTTTCAACTTGGTGGAAGCGAAAAGGCGCTCGGGTGTTCGTTTCCATCGCCCCCGTTGTTTTGAGGGCGAGTGTGAGGAGATTTCGTGCGCCCTGTTCCCGGCAGGGTGGGGAGGAGGAGGTTCAGGCTGGAGCGCATTGCGGCTGTTTTGCCCTGTGTTGCCTGACGCAGCTTGCGCAATTCAATTTGCTGAGGCAGTTGTGGGCACCAAGCCTGACGGATTGCCGGAGTTGATCCCGGTGGCTAGAAAGCGAGAGGAGCTCTTGCGTTCGCTGCAAGCTTTCTATTTCTTCTATTACCAAAACCATACTGGCAGGATTTGCAACAGGCCCTTCAAGTACACCGCATCAAGGTAAAGTGGCCGTTCAAGTCCGGTTTTTCGCCTAGAACGCTGAGCAGTGACCAGCCGGAGCCTCATACCAGCCACTTGTGTGTTATGAAGGCAGAAAGTGGTGATGTAGGGTGGGCTAGCGTGTTTATCCCAAGATCGAACGGATTCGCCAAAGTGAAAGCAGAGCAAAACGTGACACATTGACAAACGACACACACATCCTCACACGCACGCAAACGCGCAAAAGAAGCGCAAACACATACACAAACAAAACACACACACAGACACAACTGGCAATTACATACAAACAAACACAGAGAAACACAGACACACACACAAATACACGCAAGCACACACACACACACCGCCGACAGACGAACTAGGGGGAGGTGGTGGCTAGCATGATCTCCTCCAGCCCCCCCCCCTTTAGGTTTCATTTTCAATTCCCTTATAATCCTCACGATTTTCTCAAATTCCATTTTTTTGAAAATTGAATCAAAGGAGCAGAAAGGCGAGGTGGACAAAATCCGCAGCCAACACACTGCCAGAACTGTTTGTGCGCGAGAGGAATATATTGCGGACGGGCTATGCCGCATTACCCAAGCCAACCGTCGTCGTCGAGTTGGTCAACATACCGTATAACGAAAATATACAAAGAAACATCAGGGGTGCCGGTGCCGGGCCGCGTGCAGCAAGCCATTCGGTCTCGCGTACACAGCCAACTAGGCCCTTTTTGAACGGGCTGGGCCAGAACCAAATCCCGGGTCATTCAGCGGAATAGAAGGCCAGTGCGTGGCTGCCTGGCAAGAAAAATGGTCAGCTTCTGTCAAAGGGAGCTGGCTGCCTGGAATAGGTCACGCCGCTTTTGGGATTTGGCATCAGGTTGACCCAAGGTGCGATGGCTTCCTCACAAAAGCATGTGCGCCACTTTGATCAGATTCAGCTTCCGTCAAATTTGTAAATGGAGCAGGTCGCGCATCATTTAACGAAAAGTGGCCTTGCTTGCACTTTGCCATGCTTGCACTTTGCGCTTGTGGATCCTTTTCAATCAGCACAGCTGTGTCTTTGGTTCTTTCTGTTTTCTCCTTTGGGACTTGAACAGTTCGCCACAAAAAGCTTGCTGTCCGGGCACTCTTTTTTTGGCGAAAGATGCAGAACCTGACCGAAAAGCATGTGCGACACTTTGCAAAGCCTCGCAGGGCTTCTCGCGCTGCCAGTGTTTGGGCAGAAGCTGGCGCCAAATCTAAAAAAAAACAGTGGCCTCATTCCGCTCATTCCGACTCAACGGCGGAATGAGGCGGAAAGGCGCCAAGTCTGACCTCGACGGAAACTATTTCCAAATCGGACCAAAGCTGACGCGCAAACAGAGGCTGATGCAGACACACAGGCAGATAGTCACACTTACGCGTACAGACACAAACACTTAAGCAAGCACCAGAAGACCAAGCACACATACACAAGCGTTTAGCAATGGCAGGTCTCTGAGCCAATCGCACGTGGCATGCTAGCACATTGGTTGAAGCTTCGCTATGCTGTAGGTCTGGGACGTTGCTGGTTGCAGCGGATGATCTTGGCGTCTATGCTGGCCAAGTGATCAGGGAGGCGCCAAAGTGTGATCAAATCCTCCGATTTCGTGAGTGCCCCTTTGTAGCAACTCATTGCATCGTACGTGTTTGACGTTTACATGCTTAATATCCAAATGACCGCAGCTGGATTGTTCTCGAAAAAACAGAAATAACCAAAAAAACAAAAACAGCACTCCTTTGCATCCTGAAAGTTGATGCGCGCACACTTGCGTGCTGCGTGCGTGCGTGCGTGCGTGCGTGCGTGCGTGCGTGCGTGCGTGCGTGCGTGCGTGCGTGCGTGCGTGCGTGCGTGCGTGCGTGCGTGCGTGCGTGCGTGCGTGCGTGCGTGCGTGCGTGCGTGCGTGCGTGCGTGCGTGCGTGCGTGCGTGTGTGCGTGTGTGTGTGTGTGTGTGTGTGTGTGTGTGTGTGTGTGTGTGCGTGGGTGGGTGGGTGGGTGTGTGTGTGTGTGCGTGTGTGTTTGAAAGGCGCACGGGTGCCTTTCGGTTTATTGGAGGCTGGTCGAGACGAAGTACACTTCCGACGCGTCCCACCATGTGTTGCTTTGGAAGGTCAAGCAATACAGGACAGCTTGTGCTTTGCAGTGACAGCTTTTGCTTGCTCACTTCACTTGCCTTGTGTACCAACTGCTGCGCAGGATGTCAGCGTGGCGTGTGGGCCGGATTTCCGCTGCAGGGTTCTGGTACTGCACGCAAAGGCGCCATGCTGCCAGTGTGCGTAATTTTGGCTTACAGAATATTGAATCAGCATCGGCGGCAAAAGATAATTTGTGAAGTCCATGCAGGGACACAGACTGGCAGAATGCCCAGTGGGTGAGAACTTTGCAGACTCGCGTGCTCAACGAGGACGCGGATGATATGTTGTGTCATGTTTTGCAATCAATCGCACGTCGTTCGATGCTTGGAAAGGGCACTTCGTGTTGCGTTGATTCCTGGAGGTTACAGGACAGTTGCCAACGTTGCTGCCTTGCCAAGTTCCGAGCCAAAGCAATGGGAGATTCCGGACACGTGGCTACATACGCATTCCAAATTTCATCGTGGGCGCGAAACCATAAAGGCGGAGAGTTTAAAGTATGTTCGTTGAAAGGGCTGTGCAGAGTGCAGCATTTTCCAGCAAAGCACGCAATGCAGTGTTGTATTTGGAGGCTCTGGCAATCAATGGCAATTGCATGGGAGACTTCAAGCCTCAGTACGTGGGCTGCGTGGTTGTTGGCACATCTGAAGGCAGGGCACGATGAGCAGTGACTGTCTGACAGGGTTTGACAATGACTCACAGGTCGCATCGTCGAGCTTCGCCGCACTGGGAACGCGACCCGCACGCTGGTGCCCGAAAGGGCTATGGAGCAGCGCAATGAGGCGGGGGCGCTGCCTGAGAAGGCACAAAGTGATAAAGTTTCTTGATGCTTTGTGTCCCAGGCTCTCACTGCTGGCTCTCTGCACTTTTCCTCCAAGGGGTATGTCATGGCCTTGCGTCGCAGCTCTCACAGATTGCAAACGCTCCAGGCAAGGGGCTTGAGCTGGTATCAAGGCATCTAGTTCATGGGCATCGCACCGTGCATCGCGCCAGGCGTTCAGCGCCAAGGGAGGAACTCATGCTGGCGAGTGTGATGCTCAGCTGCTTGCACTCAGCAGAGCAGAACAGCCTCTCTGAGAGGTGGCGCTTGCCACAGAATATTCATTGGCTCACGCTGGGTGGAGGCCGGACGGAATTGGTTTATCATGGCTATGCACTTTCCTGCGCATGGAACCTGGTGGGAGGCGAAGAGAAGTTGTACGGCTTCGGTTTGCGAGAAGGTTTGTGCCTGGTGATATCATGCAGCTCTGTGCTCCCGTAAATCTGACCCAGGCGTCCCGGAGCTGTATGAGGTTATGCTGCCAGATACACTGAAAAGACAGGCGGAAACTCGCAATGCCAGCGTCAACTTGTGCATTTGCACGAGACTGCATTTGGGTTTCATTATGACGGGGAACAACATGTTGGCTCAACGCCCAGCAATTGCCCGTGGATTTTCAAGTATGTTTTACAATCCACTCACCTTCCCGACTTCGGGCATTGCTCGCCAGTTGACCCAACATGTTTTCCTTTTAGGGGGGGGGGTAGGGGGGGATGATCAGCCTCGGTTTCCCTGGGTTTTTGTGTGTGTGGGTGTGTGTGTTTGCGCTTGCTTGCTTGTTTGTTTGTTTGTTTGTTTGTTTGTCTGACACCCTGACCTTCAAGCAATCATGCTATTTGAGAACCATTTGGGCTCACTTTCTATTTGGGGGCCATGCACCTACAGTGAAATGACCTTGCGGCAGTGTATAACCAGAGACGCCCAGAGATATACATCAACCCAGCTGATTCCATCAGGTTGTTCCGAAACAGACCCAGGGCCACTGAGACTGCTACCACAATGGGTATCTCCTCCTCAGGGATTGGGTGCCTGCAATTGTTGCACGCAGTCCAAGCAGTCGTCTAGCCAAAACAGACATGTTGCTGCGTCAGGCATGCTTCAGCTGCTGCCTGCATCCTGCTTGCCCCAGTGGATGTATCTGTACAACTCCACAGGAACAGTAACTTCAGTTCACATAGACCTAGCAAGTAAGCATCCACCTGAAATATGCTGGTAAACCACAGTTGTCACACAGCTGCTTCACTGCAAGGACATGGCTTCCGAGCGATCCGAAAACAAAATCAACGGGCAATTGCTGGGCGTAAAGCCAACATGTTGGTGTTCGCCTCCGCAAAGTTCCGCGGCGGGCTTCAAAAGCTCGGCGAACGTCTTGTGTAAGGGCCTTTGGTCATGGAAACTGCGGGCAATCGCGCATACTGGTCATATCTAAGCATAGAACAAATCCAGGCTTTGCCATTTTGAGTCTTTCCACGGTAAGCCAAATCTCCGGCAATGTTTGACGTAAGATTCGCGGAAGTTTCGCGGAGGCCAGACTGCATACGTGTATGTGGTAAAGGGAAAACCACCAGTTTTGACACACCCACGTGGCTTCCCACATGGGCGTACTACGCTTGTAGCGAAAAGCTTCTGCATAGACCGAAGTCTACTTTGTGTACGTTGCTGCCTGTACTATCTCGCGCTGAAAATAGCAATGTTCCAGCCTGAGGCGACAAAGTGGATTTTGCGCACTTTACTTGTACTGCAAGAGCCCCAAAGGTAAAACATTTTGAAGGCGGGGCACCCAGCGTCTCCGAGAATTTATTTCGCATTGGTTACCCCAAAATGTAGACTTTGTTGTCTCGGAACAACTTGTTGTGGAGGTAACAATGACATGCCGCCGGGGGGCGGGATGGGATGAGCAACCGTGGCCGTTTTGGATGGAGCGGCCCGGTTGCCAAATCATTCTGAAAGCCATGGAGTGCCGGTCCTTCTGACCACTTGGAGGGTGCTGGCACTTGGCATGGGAGATCCAGTTGCAGATGAGCTGCAAGCATTGACAACAATTGGGCAGATCTTCGATCATCTGAGTATCCAGGGCGAGGCGAACAATCGCTTCACAGTCAGAGGATCGTTATGTGCATACTGGGATGTGGAAGAAAGTGCACGCCCAGCCATACTGGCCATGTTGACGGAGGCAGACATGAGTCAAATTTGAGCAGCATGGACAATCGCGCAGGTGCAGGTAGCGGCTGATGGCACGCGAACAGAGGTTGGCCGCGCGCCCACTGTGCGAGAGCTTGGGGCCGCAAGATACGCTGCCAGGTTGTGTCGGCTGCGTTTGGGCACAGAAGTAGCAACAGTAGCCGGCACGGCAAGCGCAGCATCGCCGGCGCCGGTAACTGGAGGAGACAACCGCAAGGTCAGGCTCAGCCAGGTGTTGTCCCAAGTCGACGACACTGAAATCGACGTACTGTCAGAGAGCACTTTGCTCCAGATGTATGCGAGATATGAGACTGTCTTTGGACGTGATTGCAGGCCGCCAATAGATCGGGATCCCACAGCTGAACAAGTGTCAGGAATTCACTCGTTGGTTTCAACAGGGCGAACACCACACTGCGACTTTGCGGTTTTTGGGCCCCACGGGGCACGCATCATGAAGCGGATCAAATTCCACGGGCTGGTCCAGGACAAGCCAGGGCAGTTGACACGTGCTGAGCTATACGGCCCTCCAGACTTCTCTTCATGGAAGGCATGCTTTGACACCTATTGCAACGCACTGATCCTGCTCGGAACCGCAAGTCTTGGCCCTTTGACTGCTTACAGAACCCGGATCGAAAAGCTTCACACGCGATACGGCAATCGGGTGTGGGCGCTGCTGTATCAAGCGGACGTTCGCTGCAGGCTTGAGCATATGCCCCGCACTAAGATGAGGCTGTTGCAACGCCACCAAGACGCAATTGCTGCAGGAGGCGTGTCAGCTTTCAGCCCCGCAAGCCCTTGGAGTGACGTTTTCACAGAGGTTGCGGCTGACGACCGCTACTGGAACGATGAGGTCGTGGAACCTGCCCTAATGGTGTTAACTGACAGCGGCAGCTTGAGAGACCTCGTCAGCGGCGATGCCAGAACGGGCCGCCAGGGAGTGGATGATGCATCAAGGGGTATTCTTGCAGCGGCCGGCCACAGAGTGACGGGTCCGCACCTGTTAATCCAAAGCCTAGGAAGCAGAATCGCACTGGCCGCTTGCACGACTTGCACGAAGGGGCCTATCGCTGCAATCGCACAGGATACCAGTTATGCCCGGGATTTCAAGATGACTCCTGTCCCCACACTGTGTCCGGCAATTGGTGTGGCCAGGACTCTACCAAGGCACACCAGTGCTCACGCTGCCTTGGCTCGCACCCGAGATGCAAATGTCCATACACAGACCCGCCAAAAGTTGGATTTGTGACACGAGGCAAAGGTGACAAGGGCCGCGGGCGCGGGCGACAGGGCAACCGAGGCAGAGCAGCAGGGCGGCCGACGCCCTACTGACTATCGCGCAGCCGTTCGCCGCTGCCAAGTAGCGAGGACAGCGCTACGGCAGCCAGCACGGCAGCCAGCGCGTCAGGCGCAGGCGCGCGCATTAAGCTGCTATATCTGTTTTCTGGGCCGACCCAAGAGGGCAGTTTGCAAGCGCAGATGCGTCGCCTGGGGGTTCACGTTGTTTGTTGCGATTTGCAACATGATTCTCCTACCAATCTGCTTGACCAAGATGTTTGGGAGCAGCTTTTCACCCACCGCATCGCCAAAGGTGAATTCGCGGCAATGTTTGCAACCCCGCCCTGGAAGACATTTTGTGACAGCGATGACGGGTTGAAGCCCCTTAGGGGCCCATGCGTGCCTGACTTGCTTGGCTTTCCTGGCCTCACGCCCATGGAGAAAGCAAGCGTTCGAGAGGAAACTGCTCTGTCATTGCGAGTGCTGGAAGCTGCGGAGTGGTTTGCGCTGCAAGGTCTTCCATGGGGCATTGGGTTTCCTGCCAAGAAAGAGGGGCGCCCGAGCTTGTTCGATTTTCCTGAGGCTGTGCGGCTAAAATGCCATTGCGACACACAGCTTATAAGGGTTTCACAATGCCTGTATGGATGCCAGTTCAAATGGGACACGGATTTCCTTGCGAATTTTCAGCGGATTGGCTCTCCAGGGTTGTGCAATCATCCGCCGCGATGGTGGAAGATACCCTGGAGTGGGGAAGCTGCCTGGGGGCCTCACCCTCCACTGAAGGGATGCCAGGTAGCATTACCTGCAGAGGAATGGCGCCCGCACATGAAAGAAAAGCTTGAGCCGGAAGGGCCACTCCTTTTCCGATCATTAGTTCGTTTTCCTGCAGCATTGAATGTCAGCCTTGCGGATGCTTTCGCATCTGCGTGTCGGCAAGGACTGAAAGCTGCAGGCGTGCTTCATCAGGCAGCAGAAGAGCAGAACAAAAGAGTTTTGCAGGATGATTTGGACTTTTGTAAGCTCCCGAAGACACGCAGATTGGGCAGAGCGCCAACCAACCCCACAGCTGAGCCACATGTCGGGGGCTTGCGGCGCACCTTCGAGTCAGTTGAGGCTGTTCCAGGACTCGTCAATCTTGGTGTTCAGATCCGGAATTTTCTGGACTCATGCCTTGACAAGAATCCCGAGCTAGAAGATCGCCTGCTAGCTAGCTTGGGCAAGCCCAAGGGCGCTTTTCTGACACCCGCAGCTTGGTTGGATGATGTTCGTTGTGGTCTTGTCAGCATTTTGCTGAGAGCTGTGGGGGAGTCTGCTTGCCCGGAGAAAATCAAATCCTTGACAGGACCCGTCTCGAATCGGCACTGTCAGACAGATCTCCGGGCGGGAATCTTCGACCTTTGGGCTAGAGCTGCGCAGGATCCTGGTGCCAAAATTGTGCCGTGGCTCACGGATGGAGCGCCTGGGGGCATTTTGTTGCACCCAGAGCTCGATGGACTCTTCCCAAAAGTCACAGAAGAGGAAGAGTTTGAGCGCCTAGACCCGGAGGGTTTATGGACGGATTTGGACCAATTTGCAAACTATGAAGGGATCGAAAGCAACGAAGCTGCGCGCGAGACAATTCAAGGCTACGCCGATGCTGGTTTTCTAAAAGTCTGCGATTCGCTTGATGAATGCCGCAAGCATCTTGGTGCAGAGCCGGTGGTGTCCAAATTGGGGTGCATCACAAAGGTGAAGACACTTCAAGGGGGCTCGCGCGTGACCAAGCATCGCATCATTCTTGACGAGAAAAGGTCACTGGTTACTGCTAGCACTTCACGGAGATATAAGTCTGTGCTGCCGCGAGCTACAGATGTTGTGTGGGACGCGTTGGAATTGCAGTCTGACGCCCTTCCTGGCGAAATCACGACGTTGCTGGTGGCAGACGTGGAAAATGCATTCTGGCTCCTGCCGCTGGCGCCGTCAGAGCGCAGATTCTTCGTGGCCAAATTGCGTGGCAAGTATTTTGTCTTCCTTCGCACGGCGCAGGGTTCCAGATCTGCGCCTTTGACTTTTGCTGCAGTGATGGCGCTCTCAGCGCGACTGGTGCAATCTGTCTTGCTGCGGGACAGGCTGTCGCGCCGTCATCCCCAAGAAGGCCGCTTGGAGGTGTATGTGGATGACCCCATCGCTGTTCTTTCAGGCACGCCAAGCAAAGTCAGACGGCTGGCGTCTCTGGTCTTGGTGACATGGATGGTTTTGGGATTTCCGCTGGCTCTTCACAAAGCTTGCTTTGGGTCGTGTGTTGTCTGGGTGGGCGTCCAGATTTCTGTTTCGTCTGATCAAGTCGAAGTTCAGGTTCCCCAGGACAAAATTGAGGACCTGATGAACATTTGCGCTGACAGTGGCCGAAGCAACGTTCTGACAGTCAAAGCGTTGCGCTCTCTTGCGGGAAAGGTCAACAATGTGGCCACTGTCTTATTCACATGGCGCCCATTTGCGGCGCAATTGTTTGCCGCGCTGCGGACTGCAGGGCAATTTGGAGCGCCGCAGCACTGCATTTGGACCAAGCAAGTGCACACCGCGCTCTCGTGGCTGCTAGCCTTCCTTGCTCGCCAGCAGGGCACCTTGCGTCGAGTCTGGCTTTTAGAAGCGTTCGTGGCGCGTGCTGACCGAATTCAGATTACGTGGGATGCCTCACCTTTCGGCTTTGGAGCCACTCTCGCTGTCAATGGTAAGTTGGTCACTTACTTGCATGACACAGTGCAGGATTTCGAAAGAAACCTCCTTAGCATCCGTGTCGGCAACTCTGACGCTCAGCAAACCATGGAGGCATTAGCTGGGCTAGTTGCGCTGCGGGCATGGCAAAGCCAGTGGAAACACGCCCGCGCAGCGCTGTGTCTCAGAGCGGATAACATGGGATCCTTAGCACTCTTTTCCAAACTTGACAGCATGTCACCCGCGCTTTCCCTCATTGCAAGGGAGTTTGCGTTGGACTTGAGTGATGCTGCATTTGCTCCACGTGAGGCTTGGCATCTCCCGGGGGTTTTGAATGTCACTTGCGACTCCCTCAGTCGGCTCGAGCAGCCAGGCGGCAATTATTCAGTTCCTGGGCATCTTTTGTCGTTACCCAGGACCCGCTTGCCCACCAGAAATTCAATGTGGTGGGTTTCAGTTTCACCTGACAAGGCTCCCGCTTTGCACATGGCTTCATCCTAAGGGTGGGGAGCCAAAAGCCTTGCCAATGCCCGGTTACAAGTTACCATACACTGTGCTTTGTCCGCCAGTGAGTGGTCCATCCACCGCGCGGGCCCGCAACTTGACGCCAGGTCAAGTTTCAGAAAGGGCGGCAGAGCAAAGGGCCGCTTCCCTGCGGGCAAAGTCCGTGACGGAGGCAGCTGCAGAAGAAAAGGCCGCAGAGTGTCAGACGCGCAAACGCTTGCGCTCAGACCATCCTAAAGTGACCGTGTCAACAGGGGCGTCGCGCGCCACGGCCCTGAGAGTGACTGCGTGCGCTGAGACAAGGCAAGGTGCCATTGATGAGCTTCAAACTGACATGTTTGCGCGCTGCGCCCTCGTGACTCTTGCTTGAGGACTTGGGAAGCATTCCATGGGTCTTGGTTTGAAGGTCGTGTCCCATGTTTTCCCTTGACTTGCGAGAAGCTGTTCGCAGTGTCTTCTTTGTTCAAGCGAGGAAGGTACAGCAGCTTTCCAAACTATTTGGGGCGCGCCCGGGAACAGCATGTTCTCTTCGGGCATGCCTGGACTCAGCAGCTAGACCGGGTTGCAAGGGCATGCAAGCGCTCGGTGCTGCGAGGCATCATGGAGAAGAGTCGGTCTGACCCTTTTGATGAAGTAAAGGCCTTGGAGGTTGCCATGGAGGGTGGCTACGACTGGACAAGCGTCGGCCGCCCAGTGCACCAGGGAGCAATGCTCCTCACAGGGCTTTTCTTCATGTTAAGGGAGATTGAGCTCTCAGCTGCATTATTTCATGAAGCACGAGTCACTGAAAGCGGAAAGAAGCTGGAGCTACACCTCCCTGCGTCCAAGACTGATGGTGGAGGCAGAGGTGTGTCACGTTTTGTCGAGTGCTATTGCGGCCTGGGGGTTTTGAGCCACTGCCCTGTTCATCTGATGGCCGAGTACTTGACAAGCATTCGCAAGCAATTCATTCATGATGGCGGGGTTGCAGCAGATGAGCTACCGCTGTTTCCAGATTCTTCTGGCAGACCGCTCACCAAGAGTGCAATCACGCAGGTGGTGAGGGGATGGGTCCGGAGCTACGGTGGTGAGCTGCGCCGTCCCTCCGGATCTTTTTCGGTCTCAGCGCATGCGTTTCGGATTTCCGGAGCTCGATTTTACGCAAAGCTAGGCTTGGACCCGGTCACCATTGGCATTCATGGTCGATGGAAGAGTGAAGCCATTCTGACTTATCTCGCAGATGCTCCGGTCTCGGCAATGACTTCTCGCATCAGATCATTGAGGGCCCAGGAGGATCAGAGTGAGGGCAGAGACAGGGTGAAAGCCTTGGAAGCAAGACTTGACTCCTTAGAGCAGAAACTGTCACCCGGGTCTGGGGCTGTTTGTGAGCAGCAGGAAATGCCTGGCGAAACAGTTTTTGTCATCAACAGAGGCACGGGAGTTTGGCATAAAGCCACGCTGTCCAATGCCGGACATGCAATCAAGACATGGTGCTGTTGGGCTTGCCTAGACAAACCCAATGCTTCAGTCAGCGTCTGCCCGCCTAAGGATTGGAAAACTTGCAAGCTTTGTTCAAGGTGTTTCCCTTCTGAGCTGCAGAGTGAATCTGCAGGCGAGTCATCAGAGTCGGACTCAACTAGCACAAGCACTGAGTCAGCACGTGGCAAGGAGAAGGGATGCGAATGCATCGCTTCCTCGGGTTGTGTGCTAATGGCTGAAAGTCCGGTCATGTGAGTGCTGTGCAACCGTTCGATTGACTCAGCAGCAGTTCAAAGAGAAACAGCGCCCTCAAGGCGGGCGGGCGGGATTGCCTCGGCTTGATTGTTGTCTCGGAACAACTTGTTGTGGAGGTAACAATGACATGCCGCCGGGGGGCGGGATGGGATGAGCAACCGTGGCCGTTTTGGATGGAGCGGCCCGGTTGCCAAATCATTCTGAAACCCATCCCCATTTCATTCCCGCCCAGAATGATTGGCAAGGAGAAGGGATGCGAATGCATCGCTTCCTCGGGTTGTGTGCTAATGGCTGAAAGTCCGGTCATGTGAGTGCTGTGCAACCGTTCGATTGACTCAGCAGCAGTTCAAAGAGAAACAGCGCCCTCAAGGCGGGCGGGCGGGATTGCCTCGGCTTGATTGTTGCGTCTCCGAGAATTTATTTCGCATTGGTTACCCCATAATGTAGACTTTGTTTGTTGAGCAAAATTGGGAATGAATTGACTTGAAATTGATCCTGAGGTTAAAGGCTAGATTAGGAGACTCCGGATTACTATCAACTAGTTACAGTAATTCCTGTCATTTTTCGTAGAATGCGTTGGGTTCAACAAGCGAAGCTTGCAGGGAATGAACAAGCAGTTTCTTGATCAGTCCGTCTTGCTCAGAATGATGCATGCAGGAGGCAGTGCAACACAATTTGTCATGATTATGATTCGGACAGGTTGCAAATAAATCCTGGGTCCCCACAACTCCATAGAACCCTGATCACTTTTTGTACATGTTGAGAGAAAAACTCCTGTAGGGGTTCCAGTCTCTTTCTTCACAGGTCAGAGGAGTCACGTAAATCACGAACGTGACTGGAGGTCCTGGGTTGGCTTCTTTTTGTTATCTTTCTTTTCTAAAGTTATCCTTTGTTCTCCACCACCCGCGAAGCGTGCGCTTGCTTGAATCTTTGACAAGATCGAGGGCGTCGGTGTGCCGTTGGTGTCCGGGTATCCTGACGATGCCCGGGTGTCCCGGTGTCCCGGCGGTTTTGGTACTTTGGTATTTTGGTGTGTTTGTTGTGTTTTGGAAGTGTCCTGGTGGTGCCGCCCGGTGTTCCAATGGTGGGTTCGATTGGAGATGTCAAAGTGGGCTGAACAGCTAGCCCGTCTGCCCATGTAGAAAAAGCGTTCATAAACAAGTAGCCCCATTCAGCAGAGTGGCAGACAACCGCCATTTGACAGAGTTGCAGGCAGACACTCCCAGCTGAGTTCTGCAAGAAGAACAAGGCCTTGACATTTCAAGCCACAGCCATGGATATTCATTGGTGAGATGCACGCAACGTTGTTTTGTGAGGTTACAGGTGCATACAATGATGCTGCGCTGACCAAAGATGTCAGCAGATGTTGCCGTTGTATGCAGCTATGTCCATAGGGTTCGATTTGCAGCTGTTGTGCGACACTTCTCACTTTCACGTGAGTGAGGCGGTCAACAGACTGATGGCACTTGTGAAACACAGTGCCATTGACAGCCGCATGATTGGCTCTTAAGCGAAAGGCGGCAATGCAGGCCTCTCAAAAGGGAGGACTGTTCAAGTGAAAAAAGCTCGACGCGGTGGTCTAGTCCAGTGAAAAAACTGACAGCTTCTCTTAAATTGATGGGTCGTCACTTTAGAAAATGGGTGTACAGTCTGTGCAACACGCTGACACAGGCGTCGATTGCACTTGCCTGCTTGTCGTGAGGTCTCAAATGAGCTTAAATTCACGTACGATGCCATCAAGGACGGCTCTACGTGCGCCAATGTGCGAGTGCTTTCGCCCTGACGGCGTTCATTTGGAGGTATGACCCGTGCACGCCTCGCGATACTTGCCATCCTCAGCACTCGGCTTCAGCCAGAAAATCATGCAAGGCCGGGGCTTGTTTCCCGAATGGTGCTTGCCCTTTTTCCAGGTTGTTATTTGCCTGTGCATTGATTTGCCTGAATTGAACGAACTTGTGCTTGTGAGCTGGGCCGGAGGTTTGAACCCTCGGCCGTGTCATTTGAGGTTGCGTTGGAGACTCGAGCTCAGCTGCGCAGCTCACAGGCAAACTTGTTTTTTGCTTGATGGCCCGGGCTGTGCATTGAATGGGTAGGCCTACGGCTGGCTACCTCCGATTGATGAGCCATCCTTCGGCTACGGGCGCAGCGCCATTTTCTTAGACAGCTCAATGGCCGTGCACTTAATTCTCTCGCATTTGCCGTTGAAGCATCGCCTCATGCAGAATGACCTGAATATACACCACAGAAACGTTGTCCTGGGTGTTGCGGACAGCATTCCTGAGCAAAAATGCACGTTCTTCGAATGTGTGATTTGTGAACATCTTTGTGCATCATTTTTATGCCTTAGGACAAGTCCCACCTGCAGACTGGAGGTCCTTGGACGGCACGCTAAGCACCTTGAGACGCAGTGATTGAAGCCTTGAGACAGTTTGCATCGCATCAGCGTAGCATTGCGCAATATTGTGTCATATTTCCTGAGGTGTGCCTTTCTATCGACAGAATGAAAAGGTGAGCTGCTGGCAGAAGACCTGTGAGCAGAAAGATGCGACTGCTACTCATGCCTACTAGTTGCTCAAGCGTGCAGAGTTCATTACCTTCTTGTAAGTGGTCATGGCCACTAAGGCCCCGACACAGACACACACACACACACACTGCGAGGACTCGCTTAAGAGGCAAGCAGGTAGCGTGCCCTGCTGATCCCAGCGCTATCTTCTCACTGCCTCACGGCATGTAGGCTGAACCAATTTCCTCTTTGTAAGGTGTTTCTATTCCCACCCATCCCATCCTTTAACAGATGATGCCACGTTAGATCTCAGAACTGAATTGATGCCAATGTTGTGATATGCAGTAATTCGCTTCTCCTAAATTTGCCTGCTTAAAAGTTGCAGTCATTCACTTTTCCATTCCAAGTCTGCAACGAGTCCAGAGGAGGACTCACTCACGCAAAGTCCCGATCTTAGCTTGAACGTTCCGCTTGAGCTCAAGCAATGAACTGGATCGATATGGCTTGCTGGTAGGGTAGCAGTGCTGGAGGGCCTACTCAGATGCATTGGTTTCAAAGCAGCTACTCGTAGTTTGCGAGGACACAGATCTCAGTTTAGCTGAATGGGTTGCTTGCCGTGCGGCGCTTGCGCCATCAATACTGGTCCGCAGCAGTATGACTCAACATGAGTTGCATGCACTGCATATACAATTTGGCCTTCCAACGCTATGCCAGACAACGTTTATCACTTGTGAGTGCGGATCGTTTTAGGGTAAGCAACACACGCACAAACACACAGACACAGAGACACACGCCCACACACACACACATTTGTGGGGCCCAGCTGGTTCATTTGGCACCATCTCAGCAAGCCCTGCAGCTTCGAATCAAGCAATGCCGATCTCTGCAGCTTCCTTAGCATTTAGCGTGCTGCTCTTGCTTATCCTTTCATGTTGTGAGCATGAACATAGACCCCACGGCCCCCCATCATGTCTCCAGCTTCACCTGAAGTCGCGTCTCCGATGATGCTGACTCACGTGTGCAGGCTTTACCACTTAGCATTGCGTGCCCCGCCCGAACTCCAACTTGAACTCGAACTCCAACCCCCCCCCCCAACAAAGAAAGTAGCGCGCCCGAACTCGACTCGAACTCTACCCCCAAAAAAAAAAAAAACATGTAGCGCCGCGGGCCGCCCGCCCAAGTTAATTTACGCGGAGGAAGGAAACCGGAAGCCGTGAAAACCAAGTGCTTCCTCGAAACAGGTATTTGGACTGCCTCAAACTTGAAAGGTCACCTCAGGGGAAGGGAGTGCAGGGTTGTGAACAAGAGCTTGCCGAGTAGCCCCAAAAAGGTTCCAGGTGACACAGAAGCGATCGCGGCGATGCTGGCCTGTGCGCGCTGCGACCTATGTGTAATGCTGGTTGCTGGCGCAACGCGCGCGCATGCACTGCGCCAGGGTTGCTACAGGGTCAGTACGGTGCCTGATGAATGCGCGAACCCAGCAAGCCACCGAGGCCGAAAGATTGAAGACTGAAGCTGGTTGTCCTGCCGCGTGGCCTGTGTACATCAACACCGACAAAACCGACAAGACGCTTGGACAAACAATTTTTGGGCACTCTTGTTTGGTGTCTGCTTTAGGCCTTGGTATTTAGCTGTGTAACTAAAAGCCTGAATCATCTCAACCGTCACAGTCCTTAAACCTTGACATTCTTGTTTTGACCTCGGCCTTGCATTTTTCACCTTGCGTGGCGTTTGCTTAAGCACTTTGTCAATCTGCCAAACGCCAATCTGTCCACTTGACTTGAGACTTTAGCTTTGTGGACGGAGTCATTGCTGCCGCTACTACACGTCAAGTTGTACGGCGGGCCTTTGCCAATCTCTGATGTTTCATGTGTCTTGACGGTTCATCACTGTTGTTCATGGGTCCGGGGCAACCAAGCCAACCAGAATTTGAGAAAGGGATGTAAGGTGAATGTACAAAATCAATCAAAGCCGACATCTGAGCCTTGCATTCCTTCATCAGCGCAGCCTAGGAGCAAAAGCACGTCTCAAGATGTTAATCCATGGGAACGCCTGAACCGAAAGCTGGACGAGCGCTTGGCCCAGGCAGGTACTTGTACTGGGATGCTTGGTGGTCGTTTTCTCTCATGCGCCACTGGCAGGACAGCAAATCTTGGCAGAATTTGAGGAATGAGCCGCAAAGCTAGGCAAACTTTGCAGGCGAGAGAACGCAGTGAATGCAAATGAGTCATGTCATGTTTCCCGCTGATCAATGCAGTCATGTTTTCTCGGGCCGGTTTCCTTGTGCATGTAAAATTTGAAGGCTTTCGGAGCTGTGAAAAAGAGGTTCGCACGCAGCTTTTGACAGAGAGGAGGACACACCGACTGTCACAAGATTTCGTGCAGCTACTTTGCCTCATCCACAAGCTTTGACGCGTTGAGCGGGCAACCGCACCAAGCAATAGGCTGCATGAGCAATGGAAGGTGCGGCATTGGCAACAAAGTGTCACGCTCCTCGGCAATATAGTATAACTGGGTTAACGGCACACCTATGGTCATGCCATTACGTTGCCAAGTGCAACTCTATGGCATTTTTGGCATGTGCCAGCAGTACCAAGGTGTACTTTGGGACGCAAACAGGGAAGGCAGAGGGCTTTGCCCATGATCTGTGCCGTGAAGCCAATTCGCAGGGATTCCCTTGCGAAGCGCTTTGGCTGCTTTACGCAGCAACCATGTCAGCCACGGTTCTCCATTTTTTTGCTCCGACTTCCTGAGGTGTTTGATCTTGCCAATTTCTCGCCTGGGAAGTTCATTACTTGCAATGTGGCCATCTTGATCTTGGCAAACACAGGCCTGGTCTGTCTTTGTCGTTTGCCAAAGACGCGCAGTCAGTTTGAATCAGCACAGGCGATGGCGAACCTACGGACAATGCCACCGGCTTTTACAACTGGCTTAGGTCCTGCCGAAAAGAAGTGACCTGATTATTCTGGATTGCCGTTTTGTCCTTTCAACATTTCGGAATGCGAGCCTCAGATTGCAGTTCCTGCACACCAAGGACCATGCGTTTGCACAACTTTTCTACACAGTGTTTGGACTTGGAGATCGTCAATATGTGCATTTTAATCGCGTAGGGCGATTTGTTGATGAGCGCTTGGAGCTTTTGGGCGCACAGCGCATATACCAGCAAGGCACTGGAAGCTGGGCTGACAAGTATGCTTGAATCTGCAAAGGAGTTGTTTTGCTGACGGTTGTCATGACCAAGGAGATGATGGTGGAACAATCCAGCAGGATTTCACAGAGTGGATTCATGGGGGCCTTTGGCCTGCCTTGGACCCGATCCTTGCTCGCACTGCCTTTGCCTCAGCGTCACGCAAGGCGAAAATGACAAGGGACAAACACTGCAAACATTCAACCTGGCCGATCCTTTATGCTTTCCTTTAAATCGGACTGTCCCAGATGGAGCAATAGGTCGAACTCCGCCTTCAATTAGCTGCCTCACGTCGCCAAGGGTGACGATTCACCGGAGCTTCCCCTGTGAGCTGCCAAGATGTTTCTTCATGCTTCATGTACTTTGCAGAAGAGAGCGTTGTTTGCTGCGCACAAGGCCGGTGTTAGAAGCTCAGGCTTCCTTTGATTCTTGGCTGATCGACCGTACCATTCGCTGTGGGTTAGGGCTCAAAGAAGGCCATCCAAGTTACACATTCTGGAGTTGAGACACGAATGCCAATGCCAAACTTTTCGCAGTTTCACAAGGGTTGGTGAGCCACGGGCACACTTGCCGTCTCAAGCGTGCATTTGTAGGTGGCTGTTTTCATGTTCATAAGCTGGCTTGGATAGAAGAACAGGGCACAGCAGCACCATGAAATTGCGGTAGTTGGCAATTCTTCTGCGAGGCAGTACTTTGGAAAGCAGCTCAAAGTCATCAGATTTATGGCCTATCAACACTTTGTCAACTGCAAATCTAATCCATCGGTTTATGCAACTAAAAGTGCAGGTGTTGAGCAGTCCCAGATTTTGACTTTGAAGGAAGGTGGAGGTACTCTAGAGATATGCTATGCCTTCTCAAAAGTGCAACACACTCTGGCAAACAATGCTACAGCAATTGCAAAGGCAGCCGGAAATTGTGCAACCCATCCAGCAGCAGGGTCTGGTAAAGATGATCAAGCAGGTATGCTGAATCAGCTTGTTTGCTACCAGTACTGTATGATTCTACTTGATAATATGGACAAGCATGAAAGAGACAGCGAGAGAGAGATAGAGAGCCACAACCTATTTCTCTCTCGAACTCGGGGAAATGGCACAGCACAGGGAGGCATGTTCGATATACCTCAAATATTCCCCCGAAACATACCACCGAAACATGCCTTTGGAACATACCCCGATCGACACCTGTAGACTCCTCGACTGTGGCCGAAACATGCCTTCGAAACATAACCCAAGACCGACATGCATGGATTGATGCATATTCTTAGAAACAGTTTGCCATTGCTAAGCACAAACAGATTGCATCAGAAAACTGGAGTCTTTTGAACAATTATATGGATTCCGTCAGGTTGCCTCTACCGAGGCTCTGCCCAGCCCAGGAAAAGCGGAATGCGCCCTACTCTCCGAAAGATGTGCTCTCTCGCGCCTATTTTGATTCTTATGAGGTGAGGGTCTTGAGACTTGCCAGCGCTGGTTTACTCGCGGCTCTACTTTCTGCGTGACCTGGACATGTAGAAGCTACTTTGGGCTCACATAAATAATCATCGTTGCATTCATAGACGCTGTGTGTGTGGCATGCAAGCTGAGAACTCAGGAGAGTAGGGGAGTTGCGGCAAGTACAATCTGTAGCTGATGGAGAATCCACAGTTCATGTGGAGCTTGATGCAGGTGCAGAGACTTGAGTCGCAGTAAGCCGCGTCTGCTCTCATCTTCCACACAGAACAGACACATGGGGTTCAGCTTCATGCACTGTTCTGAGGACAGCCATTTGGATTACCATGCAGCAGGAACCCTTGAAGTCCTACCTCAAAATGATATGCAAGACGTGGACTCTTGGCTATGTCCATGCGCATATCCTGGTGCGGGTTCTGACATATGCCAAGGAGCAAATACTTCCATTGTTGTGGATTCCACAGCAGAGCAGGATTGATAGCTTGCACTCTTCTGGGCGAAGCCATTTGTATGTGTGTCTCGAAAACCTAGGATCCCTCCAATGACTGGCTTTATATTGGTTCCATCCATACCCAGGTCCCAAGTTTTGACAGTCCCATGCACAGATGTCAATTGAGTCTTTGCACACTGACCTTTGACAGGACTGCAGTACTCGCGGACTTGGACAGCATGCTTGACCTTCCTGGAGCACACAGAGGCAGTTGCTTGACTGGAGCCAGCGTCGGTAGCAGAAATTCATTCCTTTGTGTGTCCAACCAGGGCATTTCAGTTTAGAAAAGATCCAAGTGTTTCTTGGGTTTGACCCGCTCGTCCGCGTCGGAATTTGACACCAGCCTAACGGTTTTGCGCTCTTCAAGGCACCCAAGCCTGGCAAAGTCACAGTTTGATACCCTGGTTGGTGGTTTTGTGCTGTTGGTCAGCTGCTCCGAAGCTTGGGGAGCACTTTGCGTGCTACTTCGGCACCGAAAAGCGCTGGCTTTCCAGCCGCAGCTATGAACTTGGACTACCTTGACTTCTCTGCTACGGAAGGGCACTGTGTATACCAAATTCGCCAAACAGTATTTTCGTGCTACTTTCGCACTTGTTGACTCTGGAAACAACAGTGCAAGATGATGGTCGAGATCCACGAAAGCAACTTTGTGCAAAGATTGCCCTCCTGGTTGATGTTGGTTTGGCGCTGTGTTGGCATGTGTCTTGCATTGTTGGCATGTTGGCTTTGTCTTGTCTTATTGTGGGTTTAGTGTTAGGAGGCGGCCGGGAACGTGGACTTGGCTCATACAAATCATGCAAAGATTTGCGCTTACGCAAACGCAGGTCCGTTGTGCATTCTGCGCTTCATGCCGACTACCCACAAACCACATTGCGTTGCTGGTATTGTCTGCAAACTTGACCAGCGCCAGCTCTCTTGACAACACGCCGATATGGTGTCATGTTTGCAACTGCGAGGTGGCGCCAAAGTTGCGTTCCCATTGCCTTGCTCGCTGAAGGATGCTCTGGCTTCTTGTTTGCATCCGAGTGCGGCAAAGTCTTTGACCATTGTTGATGATTTATGCGATGCAGTAGAAGTGTTTTGTTTTGAACTCAGCACGGTCTCAGGTGAAATATTGCGACCTCAATACTGCCCCAACACGGCAAATGTTACATGCCTTGAAGCCGCACTTCAAACCAGACGTTCAATTCCGTATCGAGAAGCTCTTGAATGATTGCTGGGCCATGAGTGTGATTCAGGACCGCTTCAACACGCGTTCATGTCGACTGCTTTCTGACATTCACACACACACACACACCAACCCGCGCACCCACCCACGCACTCGCCAAATGTGCGTGCACGCCCAAGCCCACGAACCCCCACACACACAGACCCACACCCACACCCACACCCACACCCACACCCACACCCACACACACCGCACGCGCACGCACACGCACACGCCCCCGCCCTCGCCCGCGCCTGCGCCCGCGCCCACGCCCGAGCGCGCGCGTGCGCGCACACCCACACCCACACCCACACCCACACCCGCACGCGCACCCACACCCACACCCACACCCATACCCACACGCACACCCACACCCACACGCACACGCACACGAACACGCACACGAACACGCACACGCACACGCGAACGCACGAGCGCGCACGCACGCACGCACGCACCGACACACACACACACATACCCACCCACCCACCCACCCACCCACCCGCACGCGCATGCGCACGCGCACCCGCACCTGCACCCGCACCCGCACGCGCACGCGCACCCGCACGCGCACGCGCACGCGCACGCGCACGTGCACGCACGCGCACACGCACACGCGCACGGGCACAAACGCGCACGCCCACACGCCCACACGCCCACACACCCGCACGCCCACACGCCCACACACCCACACACCCACACACCCGCACACCCGCACACGCGCGTGTGCGCACAATCACACGCGCACGCGCACGCGTACGAGCACACGCACGCCCAAGCACACGCGCACGCAAACGCGCACGCGCACGCGCACACGGCCACACGCCCACACGCCCAGACACCCACACACCCACACACCCACACAACACACCTGCACAAACGCACACCCGCACACCCGCACACGCGCACAATCACACGCGCACGCGCACGCCCACGCACACGCACACGCCCACGCGCACGCCAACGCCCACGCGCACGCGCACGCGCACGCCCACGCGCACACGCGTGTGCGTGCGCGCGCACGCGCGCGCGTACGCGCAGGCGCGCGCACGCGCACGCGCACGCGCATGCGCACACGCACACGCACACGCACACGCACACGTCACGCGCGCACGTATTCACAAAACGGCACGCACGCACACAACAGCAAGCACGCGCGCGACGGCACTTACGCACGCGCGCAACGGCACGCTTGCAACGGCACGTTGCACGCACCCACGCACGCCCACACGCACCAACGCACCCACGCGCCCACGCACGCACTCGCGCAGCCACGCACACAAGCACCCACGCACCCACGCACCCGCCCGCCCACCCACCCACCCACCCACGCATGCACGCCACACCCATCCACACCCACGCACGCACGCAGGCACGCACGCGCAAACGCGCATGCACGCACACACACACACATACACACGCACACTCGCACATTCACACACACACACACACCCACACCCACACCCACACCCACACCCTCACCCACACCCCGCACGCACCCACACAAACGCTCGCGCGTACGAGCGCCACCCAACAGCTGCACTTTGGGGCGCGCAGCGCGAAGGCACACGCGGGCAAGGTTTCACGAAACAAGCCTTAGCAAATGTGTCACGCGCGCGCAAAACCCGCAAAGATGTGGGCTCTCTTGGCAGCCCTGGGTGGACAATATGAAATTTGTGTACATGTGCGTTGGATAAATGACGGGCGGGCGTCCAATGTGTTTCACGCCAGCGCTTGGATTTGGCATTGGTTTTGCTTGAGCCGTATTGGCATCGTGCGCAGGACCGAGCCCTTGCATGGACCCAATTCGAATTCTGGACATCTCTGGAAGCAACGCCTTTGCCGCTGGGGGCATTCTTGCAGTATTGCCCTCGCAGCTTGCTTGTATAACAGCGCTGCCAGCGCTGTCAATTTTCCAACGACCCATTATCTTCACTGAAGGTCTTGGCCGAGGGTGTGTCTCGGAGCCTTAATCGCCCTCATGATGGGTTCCATTTTAGGCTGAGCTAGCAGAACGCTGCTTATTTCTGACCACCAAGGTCAGCGGGCAAGGCCGTACACCATTGCGTCATCCCCATTGCAATCAGCTGGCATTCAGATAGCAGTGCTGCGAGCTTAGTTGCGGTGGGAGAATCTTTTCAGCCCCTTTAACGGCTGAGACCCAGTTTGGTGAAGCGCGTGTGGGTGGGCGGGCGGTGTGGCCGGCGGGCCGGCGCCTACTAAGTGTGTGTGTGGGTGCGTGTGTGTGTGGGTGGGTGCGTGTGTGTGTGTGTGGGTGCGTGCGTGCGTGCGTGCGTGCTTGCCTGCCTGCCTGCGTGCGTGCGTCGTGCGTGTGTTCGTCTGTATTCGTGCGTTCGTGCGCGCGCGTGCGTGCGTGCGTGCGTGAGGGTGGGCTCACCAGCATGCTTGCTTGCTTGCGGCTAACCCTCCCGCCTGCACACGCACACTGCTTGTATTAAGTGGTGTGAGTTGGGGTGCATTTTGAAACCCCGCCCACCCTCCTCTTTCTGGGCCCATGTGTCCTGGCTGTGGTGTGGCTGGCTGTGTGCGCCCGGCATCCATTTGCAAAAAAGTGTCAGATTGGGAGGGTTCTTGGGGGTGCGCGGGCGTGCGGGCGGGCGCGAGCGCGCATGTGCGTGCGCGTGCCTACGGAGGTCTTGGCGGGGGCGGGGGGCTGAAGATGCGTACTTGCTTCGCCCATGTGTGGCACGAGCTTGATTTTGGCACATCTTGGGCCCATTTGCAACTTTCGGGCTTTGCGTTGACCGAATCGTTCGGGCGCCGCAATTGGAGCCGTGATGCGCCCAGCCGACTTGGCATTACGCTGCCACGGTCGGGCGGCCCGCCGAAACGCAAAGAATTGGTCCTCTAGCGGGTTACCCCTGAGAGAATGCCACTCATCAGCCAGCTGCGCAAACGCTTGCCACCTGCGTGTGCTCTGTTACAAGCGCGACGCCACCTGCGCGCACCCCAATGTCTAAACTACACAATAAGGAGCGCTCCCTCGCGGCGCGCCTTTTCAAGCATGAGTTGAAACCATTCAGATTTCTTTCGCAGCTGCGTGCTGAATTGGCCAACTCAGCGAACTTCGATGCGCGCTTTTTGCGGATGCTGCAAGGTCTTGCTCCGTCTACATGCTTCAGACACCTTTCCGCCTGTGGTTCCTTTGTCACCGTAATCAGCGGGAACTTCGATTCCTTTCACTGCGTTGCGCTTGCCTCTTGGCGCCGCCAGCGCAGCAGCATCAGATGCAGCCCCTGCTTCGAGCGCCGCTTGGCAGGTCAAAATATGGCCCCGACCCAGCAGTTGAGATCTGCCCCCGACCGCGCTGATCCCCGCAGAGGGTCGCGCGGGCAGATCAGAAATCGCAACAAAAGGCGAGTTTTTGCACCTCGACCACGCCGATCCCCGCAGAGGGTTGCAACCTCGATCGACGATCAAAGTCCTGCCCCGGCGCCCTGGAAACCTCAACAAAAGTTACATAGCTGCTAACGCCGAAGCGCTATGCTCTTGGCTCTATGCACTTGGATCTATGCACTTGGCTCCATGCGCTTGGCTCTATGCACTCGGCTCTATGCGCTCGGCTCTGTGCACTGGCTCTATGCACTCGGCTCTATGCACTCTGCCCAACCAGGCCCCGGCCAGGCCTATGGCCTGGTTGGACGCCTGAGTTGGCTGCGCCCCAGTGGCTTCCTGCTGAATCTGGCTGGCAAATGTCAAGCAGAGACAGGGGCTCTCGGGATCACACCCACATTACTTATTTTGCAAACTTTCCGTTGAAAGAGGCTTAGCGCGGGCTGTGCCTTGACAAGGGGTTCGACGTTGGAACGCTTCAGCAAGCTGTGCGGCCAAGCTCCAACTGTTGCCTACCGCGTGGCTCCAACCTGGATTGGTTAAGGGCAACAGCATTTAGTTTGTGGTGGCTTCTGCAACTCATCTTCTACAAACCAGTTTGACAGTGCAAAGAGTGGGTCCTAAGTGGGTCCTTCCTGACAAGGAAAATTAGGTCCTGCGCGCTCGGAGAAACACGCGCGGTGCCCTGAAAGGCGAGTGTGATCTGGAAGGCGTGGGCTTAGCTTCCAACCTTTGTGTTTATGACTTCCCTGCTCCCTTTCAAGTAATAGTTGCCGCTTTCAAGTGATCAGTCCGCGTAGCATCAGGCGTGCAAACAATCAGCTGACTAGTTGCCTATCTTAAGTGTCACGACAGGTGCGTCTTCCAAATCGAGGTCAAAGGGCGCTGGTCTCCGAAGCTAGGCTGAAAGATACGATGTATCATCCTAAACTCGAGTAGTAAAACGCGGTGTTCGACTCCACCCTGGGTCCACTGGCTTGGTAGCCTACGGCAAGCGCATTTGATTCACAAGGATGACCCTCATGACCACAAGTTGCACGGGCCCTAAAATGACACCTTCAAAAACTCAGCCCGCTAAGCGTGAGGCGTGCAAGCAATCAGCTGACTAGTTGCCCCTCTTAAGGAATCAGTCCTAAGCATCATGTGTCCAAAGCTACACAAACACTAAAAACTAGTGGCCCTGTCCAACACTTGAATACAACTTTGATGTCAGGTGCCAAAAGCTACACGGGCAGTAAAATGCCCAAACCCTGCTTTAAGGCCCAAGCCTGCTTTGAGTCTCTGTCGACTGTTGCGCCGATGGCATCTTGATGTCTGTCGGCTTGGAGGCAATGGCGGTGTTCATGCTGAGGTGTGCAAGCAATCAGCTGACTAGTTGCACCTCTTGAGGAATCAGTCCTAGGTGCCCAAAGCTACACAGGCACTAAAAACTAGTTACCCTTTCCAAGAAACACTTCAACGCAACTTTGATAGCTACACGGGCAGTCACATGACCCCTTCAAAAACTCAGCCCGCTAAACATCAGGTGCGCAAGCAATCAGTTGCCCCTCCTAAGGAATCAGTCCTCTAAGCGTCAGGTGTCCAAAGCTAACGCAGGCACTAAAAACTAGTTGCCCTTTTCGAGACCATTGTGCGTCAAAGCTACACAGGCAGTGAAATGGCCCCTTCAAAAACTCAGCCTGTTAAGCATGCGCGATTTTCGATGCGTAGGCGTCCGCGCAGGGGATAGGCATCAAAAAAACTTATTCGGCATCAAAACAAACTTATTAGGCATCAAAAAAACTTATTAGGCATCAAAAAAACTTATGCTCATTCCTATGGGGGGAAGGAAGGAAGGCAGGAAGGAAGAAAGGAAGGAAGGAAGGAAGGAGGGAAGGAAGGAAGGAAGGAAGGAGGGAGGGAAGGAAGGAAGGGAAGGAAGGAAGGAAGAAGGATAAAATGAAAGCAAGCCCCCCCCCCCCCCCAACCACCCCGCTGATTTGTAGAAGGTTGACAGTGATAAACGCAGCCTTTGCTGAATCATCACTTCTTCGATCATCATCACCCTTTGTTGAATCATCACTTTCTTCGAGCATCATGGGCGGGGCTGCCGCCCCCCCCAACCCCCCCGCTGATTTTCAGAATGTTTACAGAGATTACCGCACCCTTTGCTGAATCATCACTTGTGTGATCATCACCACTCGTAGTTGAATCATCACTTCTTCGAACATCATGGGGGGGCTGCCGCCCCCCCCAACCCCCCTGCTGATTTGTAGAATGCTTACAGAGCTTAACGCATTCCTTGTTGAATCATCACTTCCTGGAACATAACGGGGGGGGTGTCACCCCCCCCAACCCCCCCTTTTTTTTTGAGAATGTATACTACAAAGCTTAACGCACCCTTTGCTGAATCATCACTTCCTCGATCATCACTCTCTTTCTTTCTTTCTTTCTTTCTTTCTGTCTCGCTCTCTCTCTTTCTGTTTTCTCCCTTTTTCTTCATGTTTATATCTCTGTATATTTTTCTTCACTGCTTGCGAAAATGCTGCGCCTGCGTCAAACTCTGCACCGTACCTTGCGAAAGTGCTGCGCCTGCCGCGAAATTGGTACCTCTTGCGAAAGTGCTGCGCCTGCCGCGAATTCTGGACCGCACCTTGCGAAAGTCCTGCACCTGCCGCGAATCTGTACCTGACCTTGCTAAAGTGCAGCGCCTGCTGCGAAATCTGTACCTGACCTTCCGAAAGTAGTGCGCCTGCCACGAAATCGGTACCTGACCTTGCGAAAGGCAAAATCTGTCCCGCACCTTGCGAAGGTGCTGCGCCTGCCGCGAAATCTGTACCTGACCTGCGAAAGCATTGCGCCTACCTTGCGAAAGTGCCGCGCCTGCCACGAAATCTGTACCTGAGCTTGCGAAAGTGCTTCGCCTGCCACGAAATGAATAAGTTTTTTTGATTCCTAAAAAATGTTTTTTGATCCTCTGATTTTTCATTTTTAATAGTAAATCAATGAGAACAAGTTTTTTTGATCCCGAATAAGTTTTTAGTGAACTTCAGAAATATGTTTTTTTGATGCCTAAACAAGTTGTTTTTGATCCCTCACCCTCCGCGCAGGTAATGAACACGCAAATGCGCATGCGCATGGCATGCGCAGCGTGTAGGCCCCGAGCATCCAAAACAACACTGGATTGATGGATCAGCTGTTTGCATGTTGCGGCCGTTGGCGCAGCGGACCTTTCTTTGTCCGTTCAACGCTGCCGCAAACACAGAAGAAACGCAGCGCTTGCCGCCTGTTGCTACCCAACACAGAAGCGAGGTACTGGTTTGCGGGTGCGCTGTGACCATGTATTGTTCAAAACATCATGAATCATCATCGCATCGGCAAACGCGATACGCGATGCACTGGTCAGTGTGTGTGTGTAACATGTTGATTGTTTGTTAGGTTGGTTTTGTGTTTTTTTTTTTGGCATGTTTGCTTGCTTGCTGGTTTTATCCGATGGAGTTGTCAGACTTTACTTTGAACCTGGCCGCTCCGGGCTTAGCAGGTTCAGCCGAACAACACAGCAGGCCACCACTGAGGCCATGGGGGCCGGGTTCCGCCCTAGAAGTCTCCGTGGGCTGCGCCGCGGCACATGCGCGGGTTCTTTGTTTTTGTGGAGGCTCGAAGCTGGAATGTGTTTGCTTGTTGGCTTGTTGGCTTGTTTGCTTGTTTGCTTGCTTGTTTGCTGAAGTGCACCCTGCGCATGCTCGCGTCTCGGCCGCTGCTTTGGGAACGTGCTGCGGGCGGCCAAATTGTGCTCAGGCCCTGCAAGGAAAAGGCCACAGCAGAAACTCTGAAAAAGCCTCTGAACCTGAAACGCTCTTTTGCGCAACAGATGCTTCATCCGGTTTGTGCTCCTCGCTTTCAACAAGTCAAGCGGGTTGAACTATTTTGAGCTGAAGGCAAAACTCAATCAAATGCATAGTTCCCGCCTAAGTTATTTTTTTTACTGTGGAACCTTTTTCTTGCCATTGCCATTGCCGTTGTTGTGAAAAGTTTCCTTTCGCCGTTGCTGTTGCAGTGTGTGTTTTTGCCGTGAAAGTTTTCAGGCACCAGCAGTTCCCTTGGATGTAGTTTTCTCTGTGATTTAGCCTGCCCATTTGTTTGACTCCAAGCTGATGCAGCCATGAAATTGACATGGACATTGCCGCGCAAGTTGATGCTTGCCGCGGGACTCACTGATTGCCGAGACGGGTTCTAAGTGTTCACTCGCTATGAAGGGCAGTTGGGGGTGATAGGCCACCTCTTGTGTATAGCAAAGCCTTGGAGCTCCTCAAAGACAAGTCATGGTCTGTCTCTTTTTTGCTTGTGTGTGTCAGCGCATAGGTTGTTCCAGAACATAAATGTGCAATCTTCGGCCCCAACCAACTAGCGTGCATTGCTGTACTTGATATTTGTGTTTTGCTCTTGCTGTGGGTGGGGGGGCTGGTGGTGTTACAGTGGACCACTTCATTTATTGTAAACGCTGCTTCGGCCCAGCCGCGCGCGCACCGTCTGTGGTTCGACTGCAAGTAGCAGAGCTGGTCAAGTGGCGATTCAGGAATGGACAGGTTCTGGCGTTGATGGACCAATTGATGTCATGGGCCGAAGTTGCGCAGGAATCCCCGAGGCAAGGGCAAGGCGATGCATAGGACCAGGAGTGAGTCATGGAGCCAAGAGCGCGTGCTTGGGCACTGGATGTTATGGGGCGGCAGTCTTGATCAACTGTGTTGGCGTGGGGTTCTGTTCAAGCGGTCGGAGTCAGGCGCTGGCTGCTTGCGAGCCAGAGTGGGAACCCCATGCGCGCGGCAGTGCTGGTGCGGGGTCAAGACGCCTGCTTGGGCTGGGCACGGTTGAGGCTTGCTGGGTGCTGGTTGGGCTGCGCTGGACCTGGTGGGTTGCTCAGCCGCGTCAGCAAGTCTGGGCGTGAGGCCAGGTGGCTGCTGGTCTCAGAGAGCGGGGCTAAGCTGGGACTACGCTGCTGATTGGGGTGGCGGGCTTGCTGGTTTGAGGCCAGTCTCATGGTTGGGCAGCTGAGCTGGCGGGCCTGCACTGGGCCTTGCTTGGGTGGTTGCTGGTTGGGCTGGGCCTCAGGCTAGTCTCAGGCACGTCAAGCAGGCCGGGGAGATTGAAAGATTCTCGTTGGAAATTTGGAAAGAGATCCGTGGCCTTCTTGGGGCCGAGGCGAATTAGGGCCGAGGCAATTTGATGGCTGGCTGCGTACGCCCAAAATCCAATTTAGCCAAGTGACTCGCGCGTCTCGATTTCTGAAGTGCAGCGCAGCAGTGGTTTTCATTTTTGCCTGTTTAGCATGTTGTGTTTCTTCCGCATCGTTGTTTGTCGATTTAGGTCTCTTACGAGCTGGCCAAAACTGCACCTTGATGACTTCATCGAAGCCTTGCGGGCAAGGGGTATCATCTTAACTGCCACAAATTCTGGTTTGCAGCGCAAGGGCCGGCGCTACGGCTTGTGTGTCTTGCTTGCAACGCATGCCAAGCATCCTTTTCTGAAAGAACATTTTAGCTTGTGTTGATCGAGGCTTCAACAGATTAGATCTTAAACACTCCGCCTTGAGGCTCTTTCTGGATGTGTACCCGATTGCGGAAAGGTGATTTGGTTGCAGTCCGCGTTCGACCTTCCAGCTTCCGCTTGACTTCTCGTGATGTGCCTGTGATCATGATAGCAGCAGGCAGGACGGGTGCATGGGCGGAGAGTGCATGAATCGCACAAAATATGAGACTTGAGTGTTAGAGCAACATGAGAAGGTCTGTCCGAATCAAGAGCAACAACCGCAGGTGCTGGGGTCGCCCCGTTTCGAGCCTTTTGGTCAGAGCTCAGATATAGAGAGGCACCAGCCATTCTTCTCTTTGGCTGCAAGCATCCTGACCGTGACTGGATTTATCAGAAAGAGATGCAGACTGCAAGGCGTCACAATATACTTGCGGAGCTCATCACTGCCTTTTCTCGTCAGGATGCCGCTGGTGCCTTCGTTCCCACTGTTCAGTGTGGCAGCTATGTTCAAAGAAGATTAAGAGAAATGCACAGCCGTGTAAGAGAGTGGGTCTCTGCTGGAGGCATTGTCTACATGTGTGGTTCAACAGCCATGGGCAAAGCTGTGCTTGAGGCTCTCACGGAAATATTTGGAGATGAGAGGATTCTCCAATTGCGTCAGGAAGGGAGAATTGTCCAAGAACTGTGGGGAGATACATTGCATGTGTCTGTACCTCTCAAGCCGCCTGCAAAACGAAAATGTGTGGAAGATGTTATCAGGAAGCGACGCTCGATTTTCCCAAAAGACTACACCGGGGAGGCCGTTGCTGATTCACAAGTGCACCAGCTTTTGGAAGCAGCGCGATGGGCTCCCACCCATGGAAAGACTGAACCCTGGCGATTTGTGGTGTTTGCCGCTGAGGGCCGCCTTCGGCTAATTGAGGCAACACTTTCATTCTATTCAAGTCAGAGCCCTTCCTTTTGGGCTCAGGCCTGGAATGGTGAGTTCAAAGGTTTCCCGGAGTTCAAAGCCCATGTTGACAAGCAACGCTCGGCCAAGTGGCTGAAATGCTCTCATCTCATCAGCATTTGTATGCGAAGGCAGCAGTACCAGGAAGGCAAGAGACTGTTTCCCGAGCATGAAGAGATTGCCGCTGTTTCCTGCGCGGTGCAGAATATGCACCTTGAGGCTACTTCCCTGGGCGTGGCCGCATACTGGTCTTCGTGGTTTGAACACTTCACTGCTTCTTCTGATGGCATCCATTTTCATGGCTTGAATGCACAAGAAGGAGACAAATGGTTGGGAGTGTTCTGCATCTTGTCACGCAAAGTAGGCTTGTATTAGCTGTATGAGTCTCCTCCAAGACGAAAATGCGAACGAGGACACGCACAACTGAGAAGGGATTCCCAAAGACATCCCCAACGACATGACTAGAAAGAACCCTAAAAGCCGTCCACAACAAATACTTCAACGCATCCCCAACGCATCCCCAAAGACTTCCCCACAAACATCCCCAGAACCCCAGCGACGCACCGAACAAATATGAAGCAATTTCCCCAAAACAACTCCCCCAACAGACACGCCCAGCGACATCTTCCCAAAAAAGCTCCCACCCAACATTCCCCAAAAATATCCCCAAAGACCAACCCCAAAGACATTGCCCAACAAGAATGATCCGAACCACACCCCAGAGACACATTCACCCAGTTTCCCCCGAAAGCAACCCCCAAAGACGCTCTCCAAAGATCCCCCCGCACGACGCCAAAAAACAGTCCCAAAGACAGCCAACCGCATTGCCAAACACATCTCCAAACAGAAACTTCCAAACACCCCAAAGACATCCCCAAAGACATCCCCAAAGACACGCCAAAGACATTCCCGAAGATGTGCCCCGAAAGACATCCCCTCATTTCACCTTCCAAAGACATGCCTCGAATCATCTTCCAAAGGCAATGTCACCCCGAAAGACATTTCTCTGGTCAGGCGGGGGGAAAGGCATAGGTGTCCTTTTTGGTTTGGTATGGGTGAAACTAGAGGGTTCAGTTTGGTTCTTTCGAGGCGGGACTCCGCAAATGAACTTCACGCACTGCTTTTGTATTGAAACGCTGCTCCGCAACTGGAGATGATGTGCGCATTTGCTGCTTGGGGGCGGAGGCATCTATGTCTTTGGGGCAGGTCTTGTCTTGGGGGCGGTGTCTCGGAAATGTCTGTTGCTGGTCTTTCCAGTGTTTTTGGGAACGTCTTGGTGTCTGCGGGGATGTCTTCGATGTTCAACACAAGTCTACCACACTCAGCCCGGCTCGAAGGGAAGGGTGCAGGTTTCAGCACCAAAGTCGCAACTGTTCAGTGCAAACGTTGTACGCGAAGTGCGCTTCCGCAGCCCCGGTTCGAAAGTGGCACCGGTCAAATGAATTGTAGCTATCTCAACAAGGATGCCATCTTTGACCCCAAGGAAAACATCTATTCAACAGCATATCATTTGGTCCGACCACTCAGCCTTCCAATTTCGCACCATTTCGCACCTGCTGCGCGGTTGCCATTCAGGCATCATACCATGCTAGCATTTGCAGATAAGTGATTGCACGGTTCTGTTGTTTTTGAGAGCGAGGCTCCCTGATCATGGAAGGCCTTATGGCTATCGCGCCAGCAAGATCAGCAAATTACAAAATAAGTTGGCGGCTATTTATGCACAGAATTGATTGCTCCTAGTCACTAGACGGTTTGCCCCTGCTACCCCTGCTCTCTCCCCACTTGCCTCCCCACTTGTCTCCCCCACTTGTCTCCCCACTGGCATCCTCCTCGCTTGTCTTCCTGCTTGTGCTTGGTGACAGGGTCATGGCTTGCCAATGCGTGCAGAGCCCAGTTCGTTGTTCCTTTCTCTTTGCACCCCATTCACGCGAGGCAAATGCCTCTTGACTTGACCTGGCAATTTGATTTGGCTTCGCAGACATGGTCGGCAGTTGCGGCCATGTGTGGTTTTATTGAACCAATCGAGAGCACTTTTCTCAACCTTAACAACATGGCGCCCCCAGAGTCTCGCCCCCAGAGATGTGAACGAGGTCTCTCATTGATTCATGCCTGCTTTGCCTGGAGGTATTGGCCACAGTGACATTGCTCATCGGTACAGAGCCTCTCGTAGATCTGTGGACGACTTTACGCAGTGGCGGTCCACTTGATCTTTTTGATCACTGGCCAAGTAACGTGGCAAAGACTGCCGCCGACTTAGATGAGTAGTGATGGGTGCCTAGCCGAAGGCCAGGTTTGATTTCTGGTCGATTTTTTGTGTTTTGGCATAGTGCCAGCCTGGTATAGCCTGGAGAGTGTCAAGACACACATGACCGTGGCTGGCTCTTGGCCAACAGAGCGCGATTTTGGCAGATGCCAAACTCGGCTTGAAAGGCCCATTGAGTTGCAGAAAATGCGCTCATTGTTACTTTCAAACCCATTCAACCATCTTATGTTGAGAGTTAGTCTAGCACAAGCAGCACTTCTAGGCAACCTGGCAACGCCAACATTTGAGTTGATCCATTTACCTGCTGGCATGATTCGTCTCAAACATCAGGAACTGGAGTATACGCAACTGCTGCCCTTTCAAACACCTCGCTCAAATAGGTTTCATTGAGCCTGTTTCAGCATCAAGCAGTGACATCCTGCATTCAGATATTGAATGCGCCTCGTGTCCGAGGGCTGAACTCGACTGAAGTTTGCTGTGCGTCAGCGCTCTCCGCTGCGGCAAAGCGACGTTGGAAGCGTTGGGACGTGTGGGAGTCGGAGCAATGGCGTCGGCATGGTCCTTGCTCTCACGGGCTTCAGGCGAAGATGGCTGGGGACAAGCACTGCAGCAGTCACGAAGCTCCACCAAGCAGCAAAGCGATCCAGAAATTCAGATGGCGAACTTCTCGAGCTTTTTCAGACTGTCACTCGTAGTTTGGAAATCATCACCCCGCGGCAGCTTGCTCTAGTTGCATGGTCTGCAGCACGTTTACACTTCAACTTCAGCTGCTATGATGCGCGACAAATCCCACAGCAAATTCTGATACGAGCTGCAGAACTGGATGCGCAAGGCGTATCAATGGTGATGTGGTCATTGGCCGTCCTCAGCCATTCCGAGGTGGAGCCGCTTCTGGCTAGCGTTGTGTTGAAGTTGCCCGAGCTGTCCATCCAAGGAGTGTCCAACACTCTCTGGGCTTGCGCGGTGCTGCGCCAGGACGGCTGTTTTGCATTGCCAACTCAGCACTTTTGGGATTGGAAACCAAGTGACATTTGCCAACAAGCCACGCGTAGTCCTCAGCCATGTCATACGCGATAGCTGTGTCAGAACTGACCTTGACATTTGTGACAATCTGCGGCAGAACTGACCTTGAGCTGTGACAGACACAGTCCCGACTCCCGAGCAGTGCCAGCAGAGCTACAGACCAAAGCCTGAGACCGCCAGTTGCCCAACCCAGACAGCTTGAGCCAGCTATGACAGAGACTCTCAGGCCTCTCGCGACGCAATGCCGAACAGATTAAGTGGGCACACACAGACTAAATCATGCCGTGGCTGGTTTTTGGTTCAGCCGACCCTGGTTGGGGGGGCCCACGCTTCTACTGTGATTAAGAGACATCAGCGGAGCTGTTTGGTCCGTCATGTTCTCTCCGACCACGACAGCCGCAACAACATCCGACCATGACAGCTGCGACAGAGTTGATCCTGAGCTTGAGACGGGCAGAGGCCTGCACCCGAGTCTCTTGCCAGTGCAACCCAGCAATAGCCCAGACAGCTGTACTGCTGATGAATGCCAAGGTGAGCAGCGCCCAAATCCCCTACGATGACGTTTATCTAAACGGTTTCCTAAATGGCTTCCGCTACAGGAAAGTCCTGCATCGCGAAAGCTCGCGAAAGCGTTTCCCAAAAACCCGGTTCGCGAAAGCTCTGTGAAAGGGCTACTTGTGTGTTCAGACAGCGCTTGGGGCACACGAAAAGAGCAGGCGTTGTCTGCGCGAGAGTATCCTGTGTTGTCTAACTGTGTGCAGGCTGTTTGCCAGTTTCGAAAATGGAGAGGGGGGGAGGGCGGGGCGGCCGGGTTCCGCGAAAGCTCCACGAAGCTTTCCGACAGGGAAGGCGTGGGCCCAAGATCCCAGAATCTACTGAACAATGGCGTGTTTTCAGCAGCAGCTGCCAAAGTGCACTTGGTTTGCTACTCTTGTGCTAAGAGTCGCGATTTTCAAGCTGGAGCTACCAAAGTGTACCAGATTAAAGCAGGTTGCAAAGGATGCGGCGCGATGCAGCCATGCTTGTTGTACTCACAGGAGCGCACGCCGATGATGAACGCACTTCAAAGGCAGCCCATGCTTTCGAAGGCAAGAAGCTTAGTCTCACCGCAACTTCAAAAGCTTTTGTCAGCAAGCTCAACACACGCTTGCCTTGTCCTTTGACAGGTTGCTTTTGCATCATCTCAAGCAGCCTCCAACATAGCCAGGGCCTTCTCTCATGTAATCTCGCAGGCTCGCAGGCTTGAAGATCAATTATGCACTATCATTTTCACAGCCATTGCATGACTCCCCGATGCATGTTGCGTTGAGGTTTGGGCAACTGCCCGACTGTCATGGGCTGGTTCTCCGATTCAAGAGGCCTGTCCGATGCTTTGTTTGGCCTGTCCCAGAGAGCCGCCGAGTGTTTGAGAGAAGTGCAGGCAGCAGCGCAGCTTGCGTGCCATCGAGTTCTGGAGCTGCGCCCGGCTGAAGCAGCTGCCATTGTGTGGGTGCGGCTTCCGAAGTTCAGATCTTGTGACTGTCGCTGCAACTCAATTTGGCAGGCCATTGCAGGCAAATCCCGGCCGGGCGCCAAGCGTTGTAGGCTTGATGACATTCAGGATGTTCGGAATCTGTTTGTTGAGGGATTCCATGCCTCTTCAGCTGTTTGAATCAAGCCGTTGCCTACAGACGTATTTCGTCAGAAGTCCAAGATTCCAGGTGTGATTAATGTGACAATGCGAGCTTGGGTCAGAGATTGAACACTCACTGATTCACTGGTTTCATGTCCTTTGTGTTCAGCATTCTCAAATAGCCTATTGTGTTGAAGCACATGGCCGCCTTCATGCAGTCAGTCTTGCTGGTGGCAATTGGGCTGATTCACCCGCTGGCTACGGCGCAACTGGATATTCCACAGTGGCACTTCAAGGTGACTTTGGAAGATTCGCTGCATTTGCCTCCTGGAACACACGGGCCAGATTTGCTGGCAGATACGGCTTTCACAGAGTTTGTGCGAAATTTGTTCTTTGGAGCCATGGTCCTGCCAATCGCGCACATTCCTGCCAGCGGGTTTGATCTGCAGAATGCCACGGTATTAGAGGATGTGAATGCGGAAGCCATCAATGCACACGGCGGAGTCGGGCAAGGTAAGAAGATGGTCCGATTTGAGGCCCTTCTTTCGGTGGACAGCAGACCCGTTGCAAGCTAAGACAGTCGTGGCGTTTCCAGAGCTGTGCTTGAACAGAACTGAAGAAAGTGCTTTGGTGTGCCACGCCGATTCGGCAGAACATGCATTTCGTGACAACTAACTTGTTTGCCAGATTTGTTTGCCACTAAGGTTGCCATCGAGATATGGCGCATGCCGGCACTGTCTTTGGCTGGCCTTGCTCCGTGGCGAAAATTGCGCATCGAGGCTCTCACCGACATGTCGGTGTTTCAGTGAGATGGTGCTGATGTTGTGATAGCGTTTCACAGAGTAAAGGCCAGAGTGCACAGGGCGGGCCACTTTCACCCTCTCTCTCGCGGAGCTGAGCTCCAGAGGGTCCCTCAGGAGTTGCAGTTGCAAGGCAATGAAACAAGATGGGTCCAAGATCAATTAGCAGCTTGCTAAGATCGGACAAGCTGAGTGTGACTCAGTCAGGTTGGCTGAGTTCAGCTTTGTTTCAGACAGTTTGTGACAATCGCTCAGGCCTGGGCCGAGGGCTCGTCGGGCATTGGACCTCATCACCCAGCAGGCGCGAATTGATTCCGCAGTAGGGCGCAAAGTGAAGAACAACCTGAAGCAATACCGCATTGAAGTCTTTTGGCTCATTATCATTTAATTAGTCTAATCCCGTAGATGAATACTGTTTCGACTGTTTGACATTGATCCCCCGGATCAGTGCCGGGGTTTACTATTGTGATTCCCCACGATCAAGCGCTGGCTGCCTGACTGCCCGCATTGCGCTGTGAAAATACAGAAGCTGTACAAACTATTTCATGACGCTTTCCTGCAACTAGCTCCTGCAAGAGCTGTTGTGGAAAATCTGACAAGGCATATGTCTGAGCTCGTTTCAGACCTTTGCAGCTGCCAGGCTGTTTCTTGTCCAGAGCCGAAGATCATGGCTGCCTGTGTGTGGTCTATGGCAGAGAGCTGAGCTACACAAGAGCAGTTTGTCCTTCAGTGCGAAGCCAATTAGGCAACTCTTCTTGTCACTGCAAGAGGCTCAAGACAGAGAGCGGGCCTGCAAGGGTAGCGTCAAATGCTCCAGCTCTGAAGAAGATGGAAGCGGAGAGAAGTCGGTCTAGTCCAGGCAAAGCCTTTGTGGGAGCAACTTCAGGCTGCGGTGGAAGTGTGGACCTTACAATGAGAGTTTCTTGCGTCCTCCCTGCACAAACCCGTTTATGCTTTGGAGGCTGTCAGCAAGCAGGCCAAGGGTTTCAAATCTCAAGAGCCGTGGTCTTAGCGGTCTTAGCGGTCTTAGCGCAGCATGCACAGATCCCGCAAGGCTTTCGCACGTGTTTTGGGGTTTGGCCTCGGTGAGCCTGAGCAGCTCCTCGCCCTTGTGGCAGGCATGGCAATGGCAATCATTGTTTGTCATTCCTTTTGACTTGTGACAACTGGACATTCGCGCAAGTAGCAAACAATGCAAGCAGAATCTGCGTAGATTATGCTGCGCACATGCCTGTCAAACTTCCGAAGACATCTGTTCAAGAGCTGCAGGCCAAGCCAACATTAACGACTACGGGCGTGGTCAACTCAAAAATATGTTTGAACCGTTTGCCCGCAAAAGGCGCGAGAAGGCTTTGCGAAAGGGCTGCGTCCAAAATTACACGCTTGAGATTTAGATCTTTAACCAACTAGTTTAAAAACAAACTTTCCAGCGCGAATGGATTTTGCCAGCGCGACTGAAGTTTCATGCGGTCCACGCAGCAGCCGCAAAAGGGTTTTCGCAGCAGCCGCAAAAGGACAACCAGGCTTTCTGTGGCCTCCGCTAAAACCAGCGCTTCTCCCAGCCCAAACTCACCCGAACCCAATCCTGCCGCCACCCTACAGTACTCCCATCCTGAACTAACAACCCAGGAAGGGCGAAGCTGTTCCACCAGGCATCGCTCGCTCAGAAAAAGGAGAACAAGGTTACTACTTGAACAGAGAACTCTCACCAGCGCTACCCAGCAGAACGATGTGGTGAAGGCAGAGCCCTAGGGGAAGTAGAAGCAGCATGGCGCCCACCACCCAGCCATGCGGAAGAGGCAACCGTGTACAGGGCCATGTCGTGTGCAAGGCTGGATCCCAGTCCAGCGGCGAACGTCACAAGGATGCGCGATCAGGCTCTTCGGGATCGGCCTTTGTGTCGGGAGCTTGAGCTAGGAGGAGATGCGAGGAGATGTGGGGAAGCTGAGATCTTTGACCGCGAGATGCCGCCGCTTGGCGTCGCCGTCCAGCCCATTGCGATGTAGCAGTCGAGGGCGAGATGAGGCAGCGTTGCAAGGAGGCCATCTTGCACTGACCTTCAACCAGGTGCTGCTGGAGAAGGAGAGAGCGGCGACCAACAGCTTGACCTAGGGGAGGTGTGATCTCGTCTACCCAGATTCAGTCGCACTGTTGCTGGCGATCGCGCGGCCGGCTCGAGCTGCAGTGGAGGGACAGGGACCCCACCGAGAGCCTGAAGCAGTTCTTGAGTCCAGAATGTCCAGGTCACCGCGAGACTCTCGGGAAATCCAAAAGCCCGCAAGCGTAGCCATCTTGGCGATCCGCAGATGGCCGGCTCCGGCGCGCTCTATTGGGTTTTGTGCATCGGCAGCCGCGCACGTTCTGTGCGGAGGGCTCTGCGCGGCCGTCGGAAGTCGCATTTCCGTATTCACTTTTGCACGGCCTGCGCGATAGCAGGGGGCCTGCCAACAGTTACATTTTCCGCGGGGCTTTCTGGTCATAAACCGTCATAGACCCGCTGGATTTACGCGTCGGCGCGCACTCTGCGGCCCTTGAAAAGGTGCTCGGAGAAAGTACATTCAGAATCTCCTTGTTCAAAATTGAACAATATGATCTTTCGCGGCGGCGCTGCCAAAATCGACCACAGCGATTGCGCGCGCGCCAGGCGCAGTTGCTCCCTGACCAATCGCGATTCCCGAGAGTCATGAGGGTCAATCTCTCCGAGCAATCTCTCCCAGCATGATATTTGAACAATCTCAGCAATTCTATGATGTTCCTCGCATTTTTTCTTTGGGCGCGGCCTCTCGATCACGTCCTTTGAGCAGTCTCTTTGCGCCGCCTCTGGGCGGCATGTCTCTGCGTAGTCTCTTTAGCACACTCTTCTCGAGAATGCATTGCATCCCTGTGCAGTCTTTCAGGCGAGTTTACTGCAAGAACCCTGGTCAGCAGTGCCACTGTGTTTCAGGTATGAAAGCTGACAGAGGTGTTTAACACTCTGGCTGATTGTTGAGTTCTTCGCGACAGCGGGCAACTGCATGATAGATTCGAACATGTGCCTGTGCACGCACGGACACCCACACACACATGAGTCAACCTCAGAATTATCAAAGACCACTTTATCAACGGCGTTTCATTCAATACTGGTTTTTTGCATTTTCCTCACAAAAAACGATACCCCTGAACATGGTTTGTGCTGGACCTTCGAGCTGGAGCTGCCGAAGTCTAACTTGTGTACCGTGCCTGTACTGAAAGCTGCGACTTGCGACCTGGAGGTTGCTGCCAGCAAGCAAAAGCCGCTTAGACTGACACGTGACCGCAGCAAGCTGCGACCTTCGAGCTGGAGCTGCCGAAGTGTAACTTGTGCACTGCGCTTGTGGTGAAAGTTGCGACTTGCGACCTTGAGGTTGCTGCCAGCAAGCAAGCCGCCAAGACTGATATATGATTACCGCAAGGCAGAGAAGGCTATTGTGTGTTTGCTTGGCTCTAACAGCTTATGGGAAATTGTGAAAATTTTCGTCACGCGACACACGCCCAGAACGATACCCCGGTCGATACCCCGTCGATACCCCGAGCATAGGCCCGAGTTGCATGTCATGCTCAGATTGTGCCATGTCAATGTGCGCGCACAGTCAACATGGGTGTCGTGAAAGGCTCTTGCCCATGCGGCCCTGTCGCAGATCCAGGACTCGGTGATTCGACAATTTGCTTTGCGCGGCACACTTTGCAGGAGCTTTCGTCAACAGAGCTCGCAGCAATTTCTTGGGCAATGGCCGCCACACGATGTGTTTGGTGGGCACCCCAGATCCAAATACACATTTCTGCGTTGCCGAAGTTTGGTATAAGCAATGGGAACCCACATAGCACTTCAAGGGAAGCTTCTGAGACGTAAGCTCTGGTAGGCGATGGCCACATGTTAATCGAGTGAGTGACATCAGATGCCATGTGACACTTCCCTGTTCCGAGACGTCCTCTTTGTGATGTTTGCATTTTGTCCTTTAACTGGCTCAGAGAACCATTGCAGCATCGTTTGTGTGACCAGGTGTCACATTTTTCAGACAGGCCTACATGGTCGACTGCGCTAGCTGCATCCAGGGCGCACGACACACCGAACCTCCGCACGCCAACTTGGTTGCAGCCAGCGACATTGCATACTCTGGTACAGGTGCCGAGTGCCATTTTGTCATCTGAGTCTTGCATCGCTTGCGTGGTCCTGGGCGACCCTCGAGTTTGAGTCTGGCTTCTTATCCAGCTCAGCCACTTTGCAGGGAGTTAGAACAGCGGGCCCAAAGAAATTGGACAGGGCATATCACGAAAGCTAATTCAGAACGGGTGCTGATTAAGCAGAGTTGTTTCTTACTTTGCTATCTTTGCCAAACGGCGGCGGCGATTTTCCATGATTTTCCAAGCTCTGCGACAATTTGATCTTCCGAGCCCCTTTGAGGTCTGGGGCTAAGGATTGCTCTTAGTTTTGAACCCTGCCGCCCCCGCCTTGTGTTCTCTGAGAGTCTTTGCCCTTCCAGCATTTTTACAAGCCCTCCCTCAGCGAACACACACACACACAGGTGCATGCGCAAGCGCGCACACCAAAACCACTCAACCACAAGCAACCCTCTCGGGCAGCACGCACCCAGGCAGGTGTGCAGGCACGTACTTAGCCGCCCGCCCGCCCGCCGGCCCGCCCGCACGCATGTGCAGCCGCACGCCCCCGCCCGCCACACACAAACACACACACACACAGACACAGAGACACACAGACGCAGAGACACACAGACACACAGACACACAGACACACAGACACACACACACAGACACACAGACACACAGACACACAGACACACAGACACACAGACAGGCAGACACACAGACACACACACACACCACACACACACACACCACACACACACCACACACACACACACCACACACACACACACACCGCACACACACACACGCACGCACGCACGCACACACGCACACACACACAAACACCCACCCACGCACGCACCCACCCACCACCCACCCACACACACACACCACACACACACAAACCCCACACACACACACCACACACACACCACACACACACCACACACACACCACACACACACACACACCGCACACACACACACACGCACGCACGCACGCACACACGCACACACACACACACAAACACCCACCCACGCACGCACCCACCCACCACCCACCCACACACACACACCACACACACACAAACCCCACACACACACACACCCCACACACACACACCCCACACACACACCACACACACACACACCACACACCCACACACCACACACACACACCCCACACACACACACACCCCACACACACACACGCACACGCACGCTCGCACACACACACACACCCACCCACGCACGCACGCACGCACGCACCCGCACCCACGCACCCACGCACCCACGCACTCACGCACGCACCCACGCACCCACGCACCCACGCACGCACGTACCCACCCACACACACCCACCCACACACACACAGACCCACACATACACACCCCACACACACACACACCCCACACACACACACACCCCACACACACACCCACCCCACACACACACACCCCACACACACACACCACACATACACATACCACACACACACCCGACACACACGCACACACACCCCACACACACACAAACCCCACACACACACCACACACACACACAAACCCCACACACACACCACACACACACCCCACAAACACACACACACACACCACACACACACACCCACACACACCCACACCCACACCCACACACACACACACACACACGCACCCCACACACACACACCCCACGCACCCACGCACCCACGCACCCACACACCCACTGACATGATAATCATCATGACGCATCCTCAGCATCACCAGCAGGCATCATGATAATCATGTCCACGCATCTTCTGCATCTCAAATCGGCTCGACTGATGATGATGATCATGATCATGATGATGACCACGATGATGATGATGATGATGAACTGACATGATAATCATCATGACGCACCCTCAGCATCACCAGCACTCATCATGATAATCATGTCCACGCATCTTCTGCATCTCAAATCGGCTCTAACGGGACTGATGATGATGATCATGATGAGCACCGTGATGATGATGATGATGATGATGATGATGAAGTGACATGATAATCATCATGACGCATCCTCAGCATCACCAGCAGTCATCGTGATAACGCGCTTTGATTGGCACGCTTCCACAGAACCTGCGCCCATTCTGGAGCGATCTTTTTCTTTCTTGGCTTGGTGCATTTTTGCAACAATCTGGTAAGAAAATGCGCCGCTGTAAGTGCCTACAATTCTGCTGCTGCTTGGAGCATGTGCGGTGCAGTTGCGTTTGCAGTAGTGGCTCATCGCCGGTCACCCCGCAAGCCAGCCAGTTTTCTGGCCGCAAGTTGGGGCCGCGATGGGTCCCCTATTGTAGCCAGGGTGCGATGATGATGCTGATGATGCTGAACTGACATGATAATCATCATGACGCATCCTCAGCATCACCAGCAGTCATCATGATAATCATGTCCACGCATCTTCTGCATCTCAAATCGGCTCTAACGGGACTGATGATGATGATCATGATGATGATCACGATGATGATGATGATGATGATGATGATGATGATGAACTGACATGATAATCATCATGACGCATCCTCAGCATCACCAGCAGTCATCATGATAATCATGTCCACGCATCTTCTGTATCTCAAATCGGCTCTAACGGGACTGATGATGATGATGATGATGATATGAGCGTGTCATCATCACCATGATGGTGGTCATCATCATCCTCATCATCGTCATCATCATCAGCATCATCCTCGTCATCGTCATCGTCATCATCACAGTCATCGTGCATCCTCTGCATCACCAACAGTCAGGAGGAAATCATGTCTACGCATCCTCATCATGACTACGCACCCGCTGCATCTCCAATCGGCTCTAACGCTACCTTTGAAACGTATATAAAAAAGATAAGGACGACAACGATTATGATGTGATATAATCACAAGCGTGTCACCATCATCATCATCATCGTCGTCATCATCAGCATCATCATCGTCATCATCATCGTCATCACCGTTGTCATCATCGATGATAACCATCATGTTCCATCCTCTGCATCACCAACCGTCATTAAAATGTATATAAAAAAGATAAGGACGACAACGATGCTGATGTGATATAATGACAAGCGTGTCATCATCATCATCGTCATCATCATCATCATCATCCTCGTCATCGTCATCGTCATCATCACCGTTGTCATCATCGATGATTACCATCATCGTGCATCCTCTGCATCACCAACAGTCATGATGATAATCATGCCTACGCAACCTCTGCAAGTCCAATCAGGTCACAACGATGATGATGTGATAATGATGAGCATGTCATCATCACCATGATGGTGGTCATTATCGTCATCATCATCATCATCGTCATCACCGTCATCATCACCGTTGTCATCATGGACGATAACCATCATCGTGCATCCTCTGCATCACCAGCAGTCATGATGATAATCATGACTACGCACCCGCTGCATCTCCAATCGGCTCTGACGCTACCTTTGAAACGTATACACAGAAGATAAGGACGACAACGATTATGATGTGATGTAATGACAAGCGTGTCATCATCATCATCGTCATCATCAGCATCATCATTGTCATCACCATCGTCATCATCACCGTTGTCATCATCGATGATAACCATCATCGTGCGTCCTCTGCATCACCAACAGTCATGATGATAATCATGTCTACGCATTCTCTGCATCTCCAATCAGGTCACAACGATGATGATGTGATGAGGAGCATGTCATCATCGCCATGATGGTGGTCAATATCGTGATCATCATCATCGTCATCATCATCATCGTCATCATCGTCATCATCATCGTCATCATCATCATCATGGATGATAACCATCATCGTGCGTCCTCTGCCTCACCAGCAGTCATGATGATGATCATGTCTACGCATCCTCTGCATGTCCAATCAGGTCACAACGATGATGATGTGATGATGATGAGCATGTTTATCGTCATCATCATCATCGTCATCACCGTCATCATCGCCCGTGTCATCATGGACGATAACCATCATCGTGCATCCTCTGCATCACCAACAGTCATGATGATAATCATGACTACGCACCCGCTGCATCTCCAATCGGCTCTAGCGCTACCTTTGAAACGTTTTTAAAAAAGATAAGGACGACAACGATTATGATGTGATATAATGACAAGCGTATCATCATCATCATCATCGTCATCTCCTCGTCATCGTCATCGTCATCATCACCGTTGTCATCATCGATGATAACCATCATCTTGCATCCTCTGCATTACCAACAGTCAGGAGGAAATCATGTCTACGCATCCTCTGCATCTCCAATCAGGTCACAACGATGATGTGGTGATGGTGAGCATGTCATCATCACCATGATGGTGGTCATTATCGTCATCATCATCGTCATCACCGTCATCACCGTTGTCATCATGGACGATAACCATCATCGTGCATCCTCTGCATCACCAACAGTCATGATGATAATCATGACTACGCACCCGCTGCATCTCCAATCGGTTCTAACGCCACCTTTGAAACGTATTTAAAAAAGATAAGAAAGATAAGGACGACAAAGCGTGTCATCATCATCATCGTCGTCCTTATTATGAGCATCATCCTCGTCATCGTCATCGTCATCATCACCGTTGTCATCATCGACGATAACCATCATCGTGCATCCTCTGCATCACCAGAAGTCATCATGATAATCATGTCTACGCATCCTCTACATCTCCAATCAGTCGCAACGATCAATCGGCTCTAACGCTACGATTGAAACGTATATAAAAAAGGTAAGGACCACAACGATTATGATGTGATATAATGACAAGCGTGTCATCATCATCATCATCGTCATCTCCTCGTCATCGTCATCGTGATCATCACCGTTGTCATCATCGATGATAACCATCATCGTGCATCCTCTGCATCACCAACAGTCAGGAGGAAATCATGTCTACGCATCCTCTGCATCTCCAATCAGGTCACAACGATGATGTGATGATGATGAGCATGTCATCATCACCATGATGGTGGTCATTACCGTCATCATCATCATCATCGTCATCACCGTCATCATCACCGTTGTCATCATGGACGATAACCATCATCGTGCATCCACTGCGTCACCAACAGTCATGATGATAATCATGACTACGCACCCGCTGCATCTCCAATCGGCTCTAACGCCACCTTTGAAACGTACATAAAAAGATAAGGACGACAACGATTATGATGTGATATATTACAAGCGTGTCATCATCATCATCATCGTCATCTCCTCGTCATCTCATCATCGATGATAACCATCATCGTGCATCCTCTGCATCACCAACAGTCAGGAGGAAATCATGTCTACGCATCCTCTGCATCTCCAATCAGGTCACAGTGATGATGATGAGCATGTCATCATCACCATGATGGTGGTCATTATCGTCATCATCATCATCATTATCGTCATCACCGTCATCATCACCGTTGTCATCATGGACGATAACCATCATCGTGCATCCTCTGCATCACCAACAGTCATGATGATAATCATGACTACGCACCCGCTGCATCTCCAATCGGCTCTAACGCCACCTTTGAAACGTTTTGAAAAAGAGATAAGGACGACAACGATTATGATGTGATATAATGACAAGCGTGTCATCATCATCATCATCATCATCGTCATCTCCTCGTCATCGTCATCGTCATCATCACCGTTGTCATCATCGATGATAACCATCATCGTGCATCCTCTGCATCACCAACAGTCAGGAGGAAATCATGTCTACGCATCCTCTGCATCTCCAATCAGGTCACAACGATGATGTGATGATGATGAGCATGTCATCATCACCATGATGGTGGTCATTACCGTCATCATCATCATCATCGTCATCACCGTCATCATCACCGTTGTCATCATGGACGATAACCATCATCGCGCATCCTCTGCGTCACCAACAGTCATGATGATAATCATGACTGCGCACCCGCTGCATCTCCAATCGGCTCTCACGCCACCTTTGAAACGTATATAAGAAGATAAGGACGACAACGATTATGATGTGATATAATGACAAGCGTGTCATCACCATCATCATCATCGTCATCGATGATAACCATCATCGTGCGTCCTCTGCATCACCAACAGTCAGGAGGAAATCATGTCTACGCATCCTCTGCATCTCCAATCAGGTCACAGTGATGCATGTCATCATCACCATGATGGTGGTCATTATCGTCATCATCATCATCATTATCGTCATCACCGTCATCATCACCGTTGTCATCATGGACGATAACCATCATCGTGCATCCTCTGCATCGCCAACAGTCATGATGATAATCATGACTACGCACCCGCTGCATCTCCAATCGGCTCTAACGCCACCTTTGAAACGTTTTTAAAAAGATAAGGACGACAACGATTATGATGTGATATAATGACAAGCGTGTCATCATCATCATCATCATCATCATCGTCATCTCCTCGTCATCGTCATCGTCATCATCTCATCATCGATGATAACCATCATCGTGCATCCTCTGCATCACCAACAGTCAGGAGGAAATCATGTCTACGCATTCTCTGCATCTCCAATCAGGTCACGTTGATGATGATGAGCGTGTCATCATCACCATGATGGTGGTCATTATTGTCATCATCATCATCATCATCATCGTCATCACCGTCATCATCACCGTTGTCATCATGGACGATAACCATCATCGTGCATCCTCTGCATCACCAACAGTCATGATGATAATCATGACTACGCACCCGCTGCATCTCCAATCGGCTCTAACGCCACCTTTGAAAACGTAAATAAAAAAGATAAGGACGACAACGATTCGTCATCATCATCAGCATCATCCTCGTGATCGTCATCGTCATCATCACTGTTGTTATCATCGATGATAACCATCATCGTGCATCCTCTGCATCACCAGCAGTCATCCTGACAATCATGTCTACGCATCCTCTACATCTCCAATCAGGTCACAACGATCAATCGGCTCTAACGCTACCTTTGAAACGTATATAAAAAAAGATAAGGACGACAACGATTATGATGGGATATGACAAGCGTGTCATCATCATCATCATCGTCATCTCCTCGTCATCGTCATCGTCATCATCACCATTGACATCATCGATGATAACCATCATCGTGCATCCTCTGCATCACCAACAGTCAGGAGGAAATCATGTCTACGCGTGGTCATTATCGTCACCATCATCATCATCATCATCGTCATCACCGTCATCGTCACCGTTGTCATCATGGACGATAACCATCATCGTGCGTCCTCTGCATCACCAACAGTCATGATGATAATCATGACTACGCACCCGCTGCATTTCCAATCGGCTCTAACGCCACCTTTGAAACGTTTTTAAAAAGATAAGGACGACAACGATTATGATGTGATATAATGACAAGCGTGTCATCATCATCATCGTCGTCATCATCAGCATCATCCTCGTCATCGTCATCGTCATCATCACCGTTGTCATCATCGATGTTAACCATCATCGTGCATCCTCTGCATCACCAGCAGTCATCATGATAATCATGTCTACGCATCCTCTACATCTCCAATCAGGTCACAACCATGATGTGATGACGATGAGCATGTTTATCGTCATCATCATCATCATCATCGTCATCATCATCAGCATCATCATCATCGTCATCATCATCAGCATCATCCTCGTCATTGTCATCATCATCATCACCGCTACCATCATCGATGGTAACCATCATCGTGCATCCTCTGCATCACCAACAGTCGTGATGATAATCATGTCTACGCATCCTCTGCATCTCCAATCATGTCACAACGATGATGATGTGATGATGATGAGCATGTCATCATCACCATGATGGTAATCATCATCACTGCGAAAGCAAGTCCCTCCTCGCGGGCAGAATGTCTGGCTCTAACGCAACACTTGAAACACAAACGAAAAAGCGCCAACAATGATCATGATGACGAAAAAGACACGTCTTTGAGGTGCAAAGGGATGCTACGATGACGCTGATAATGTTGACTCTTCGGCTATGCTCATTTACCAACCAACCTTGGACTTGTGCTGTAACCACCCTTCCCGTGCGCCTCCCCCTTTGAGGAGAAGGGGTCGGCGGATATACATACATACATACATGCATGCATGCATGCATGCATACATACACACATACATACACACCCACGCACACGCACACGCACACTCACACGCACACGTACACGTACACGCACACGCACATGCACACACACCTACACCCACACGCACGCGCACCCGCACCCGCACCCACACGCACCCACGCACCCACGCATGCACGGACGCACGCACGCACGCCACACACACCACACACACACACACGCACGCGCACACACACACACACACCGACACACACACACACAGACACACAGACACAGAGACCCACAGAAACACACACAGACACACACACACGGACACAGACACAGACACAGACACAGACCCAGACACAGACACAGAAACAGACACAGACACAGACACAGAAAGACAGAGACAGACAGGCAGAGACAGACAGATGAGCAGCGCCATAAACCCTGACAATACAAAGTAGTAAAGGGGGTGTCCTATAGAATCCCCGCGAAAGCTAAAACGCAGGCCGCGAAAGCTGGCGAAAGCTTATCGCGAAAGTACCCAAAGAAGGTCCCGCCACGAAAGACCCGCGAAAGCCTGCATGCTGTGAGACAGTCCACCGCGAAAGCGTCGTGAAAGCAATTCCAAAGAAAACAAAGTCCACGGAAGCAAAACATGGGGTCGCGAAAGCGTCGGGGTCCGCGAAAGCAAGTTCATAGGACCGCTTTTCACGCAAGAGTATTTGGCATGGCTCAGATAGAGGCAGACAGACACAGCCAGACAGACAGAGACAGACAGAGACAGAACAAGACACAACAAGACAGAGCAAGACAGTCAGACAGAGACAGGCAGACAGACAGACAGACAGACAGAGCCAGACAGGCAGAGAGAGAGAGAGAGAAACACAGACAGACAGACAGACAGACAGACAGACAGACAGACAGACAGACAGACAGACAGACAGACAGAGATACAGAGATACAGACAGACAGACGCACAGACGCGCTGACGCACACGCAAACACACAGACAGACGGAGAGATAGACCGACAGAGACAGACAGAGATACACAGACAGAGACAGACAGACAGAGACAGACAGAGACAGACAGAGACAGACACAGACAGACAGAGACACAGACACACAGACAGACAGACAGACAGACAGACAGACAGACAGACAGACAGACAGAGAGACAGACAGACAGACAGACAGACAGAGACAGACGGACGCACGGACAGACAGACACGAAGACCCGCAGACCCGCAGACACACAAACAGACACACAAACAAACACACAAACAGACACACAGACAGACACACACACAGATGGACACACAGACAGACAGACATACAGACAGACAGATAGACAGGCAGGCAGACAGACAGACAGACTTCTGGAGCCTTTCCTCCACATCGTTACGTTGTCTGTTTGGGGGTGTTGCTTAGAATCCATGATCTTGAGTCTGCCTCATGCACAGTTGTCTCAACCTGAGGCTGGGTCTGAAATCCTAGGCCCGAAGTTTTTTCTCATCGCATTCTGCCTTGGAGCCCTTTTGCGACGTTCCTTCTCCGAATCCTGCATCAACATTTGGTCTATTTAAGAGCGTTGGATTCTGAGTGACTGAGTGGCTTCTTTTGACGCCGTGTTCATCAGCATTGAACTTTGGATGTTCCATACTTGGGCTTGACATTGAACAGTACGCACCCTGTTTGGTTGTATCTTGCTTTGCCACGCGTTCCAGTTTTGCATTGACTAATTATTCTTGTCGGGCTGTTTGTCATTCCTCAGCTCATTGAACCTGTGCGCGCGAGCTCTGCATGGTTGCAGACTGACCTAAGCTATACCTGAGGTGAATGAGCAAGCTTGCAAGCTTGTCAAAGCATATGCAGACGCATTCCCTCAACTTCCAGCTGCAGCTTGTCCGCCAGGCCAGGCAGAGATTCAGAAAGGCATGATCAAAGGGAATTGCAAATAATTCGCTTTGCCCGCCGTAACCCACGCGCCAGTTTTCGAGAAAGCGTAGCGAAGGGTTCGTGCTCAAAAAAGCTAGCTCTGCTGCACAGCGCATCTCAACACAGCCTTGCTTCACAGCACCTTGCTAATAACATGTCTCAGCACACCCTCGCTCTCAACATAGCCTTGCTTCACAGCAAGTCTCGACATAGCCTTTCTCCACAGCACATCTCAACATAGCCTTGCTAACAGCACATCTCAACACTGGACTTGCCAATAGCAAATCCCAACATGGCGATTCCTTCACAGCACATCTGATGCACAGCACATGATACTGTAGCCCAGATACATGACAGGCCCAAGAAAGGCCCAGAACAGGGCTGGGCTGGTCAAAGAGCTCCAAGCAAGCCCAACACAAATCCAAGCCTAAACCCACCCCCCAAACACACCCTAAGCTGAACCCTGACTCCCTAACCCTGTAAACAGACCCCAAACCTACCCCAAGCCAAGCCAACCAAGCCAAGCCAAATAACCCCGCTGATGAACTGAAGTCTGCCACTCAGAAGCTGGCTCGTCACACTAGCAAGTGACTACAATGATAAGCCCTTCTGTGGGCTATCATTGCATGCGGCTGCGTGTTTGATGTAACAGACCTGCAGCAACTGTCCAGCTCCGTAAAGAGTATGAAGCAGTATCGCATTGTGTGTGTGCAGGTTCAGCTCGGTCAAGTTGCAATCCGTGCAGGGCAGAGCTGCACAAGGATTGGCGCAAGAAGCACAAACTAGTACTGAGCATGGAGGAGTTGTCACTCATGCTTTTCGCTGGATGCAGACTTCACTCAGGAGCTAATTGATCCCTTGCTGCAGTTGTCCTGGGCATTCTCATTTGCAAAGGCCAGTCTTGCTGGACAAGATTTAAGCTGTGCTTGCGCCACACTTTGTCCAGGTAGATTCCACCCTGTATCAATCAGAAGCAAAGATCCTCCTTCGCCACGTCGGCTCCACTTGGGACAAGGATGCCTGGATTGCGCATTGGATGCGCATCACCCGCTGCAATCCGTGTCCATGCTAGTCCGAGGTGTATGTGTTGCATTCCTTCTCGAAACAGGAGTTCTCTTTGTCTACCGCCCCTATCAGAAGGACCAGCACATTTGACGAACCTCAAGTATTGCTCCAGAAGCCAGGCACTTGTACTTCACAGGCGCTTGCTGATTTTGCATTTGGTTCAGGTGTGGTGCTTGTGCTCAAGCCTCCTGGATGGGAGGTGGATGGGGGCAAAGATGCAGGCGATTGGTTCTGGTCGCTCTACATTGTTTGATTAGGGTGCAGAACTCGGACTCTGTATGCCTGGGAGTGTGGAAGGGCAGGCTCGTCCCGATGGCGCTTTCAAGCTGTCGACCTACTTGCAGCATTGCTTTCCGTGCAGGCAGGGCGGCGCAACGCAATGCCATGAGACGCATTGGCATTTCACAGCCAGCTAACAGTGAACTGAATTGTCACGAATGAGTCACGAACTTTACGTCCGATATTTGACCGACTTGCGATGAAGTGCTAGCATTGGTTTGGCGAGATGAGCACAGAGTGGCTCAAGAGGCCAAAGAGCCTCCGTGAACTGCCAGTACTGGTGTGTGGCCATGTCAGCCAAGCCGCTTTGAGTTGCTCCAGTGCTTGTTGTGCTTTTGACCCGAGCTGTCTCACTGGACCGGAGAATCAGTCAAGCCCATCAAGGCCCACAAGTGTAGAGGTCAGACGTACACAGAGCGGTGAGTGGCTTTCGAAAGCTGCGGCTAGCTTTTTGTAACACCTAGGCCGGGAGCAGCTGTCATGGTGGAGGCCGTTTGCTGCTGTTTGACTTGCAGGGCTTGAGCTGAATCTGCTTTGCTGCGAATTTGCTTCTCAGCACTTTGCTAGGCATACTCAGCTTGCACTGGAGGGCATCTTGCCTTGCTTGAAGTCCAGCCAGATGGCACCGCCCAGCACCTAGGAGCTGAAACATCTGCAAGTCATTGTCCTAAAAAGTTTACAAGAACTGAACTGATACTGTAAGCACCTAGGTTGCTGACCTTTGCAAGTCAGTTACAGAGGCTACGATCTTTTCTTGCTTAGACACAATACAGCTTGCCGTGGCATCAGATTGATTTTGTCACGGCAAACCTGGACTGTTTGCTTGCCCAAATGAGCCACTGGCAGTGAGAGCATTTGAGCTATGTAATCCCTGATTGAATACACAGATGTCAGCCAGGCTGTGGCAAGCGAAATGGAAGCTGCGGGCGCAGGCTTGAGAGAGTGCATGCCTTGCAATTCATTGGCACTCCTGCGCCCCAGGATCCACCAGATGCGTAACTCAATTCTGTGCCATATCTGGCGGCCGCATCTTGCAGGCAGGCGCCCTAGCTGGTCGTGCCGTCATGCCGCTTTGCATTTTGGCAACACATTGCTGGTCATGTTGTCCCGACAAGGCAATCTAGATAGAGAATAGAGGTGCAAAGATCTAAATATTTAGTTATTGGGGTCAGAGGGAATGCTCAGAAGCCATTTCTAGGTACTAGCCTTTTGAGAAACACGGGTTGACACGTTGACACCTTCTGGCAAGGAGAACTGCAGACTGCCTAACACAGGATTGCTGCAGGACGGCATGACACACATGTTCACCACACCAGATGTTTTTTGTGAGCACTTGCAGGATGCTCCGGAAGCCAAAACAGGAGATGGAGCTCCGCCAGAGTGGTTCCAAGTTTTCTTGACGCGCAGTGGACCTTGAAGCATCTTTGAACCATTTCGAATCTCTGGAGTCTTCTGCTGCTTTTCTGAGGCACTGGAGTTCCTACGGCGGCGTGAACGACAGGTTGCAAGCTACGGATTGCCACACGAGCCGCCGACATGTTTGTTCTCGAGTGGGGAGGGGGGGGGGAGGCACGCGGGTTTAGCACCTTGTTGCTGCCAGGTGAAAGTTTGGAATGGCGATAGTGGTGGATGTGTAGCTACCTTGGACTTGCAGGATACGGAAGCCGAACGCCAGCATGACATTCCGTTATTTAGAAATGCATGCCCAGTGGATAGTTGATGTTCTGATGACTGAGATGTCATAAATGCCGGCGGTGCAAACCTGCCTGAACATGTGCGACTTGCCTCATTAACTCAAACCTTCCCAGCGAAGGACACGAGTGTCAAGCTTCCCGCGGTACTTGCGTTCCAAGCTCAGTTTCGGGGCAAACCAGCTGAGTCCGGATAGCCACGAAGCACCAATGATTTGGGCACTTGAGTCACCTCATGCTTAACATTGCAACGCCTTTTTGTGATGGCAAAGGTCGCCAACCTGCACGCCAGATGGACGCAGAGAGCTTGTGATTGAAAATGCCCTGGTGGAAAGCTCAGAAAAGCTTTATGATTCAGACATGCTACAGTTCGCGTGCGCATTGCAGCGAGGCAAGAATCGTAACCGTCCAGGACCAAGCAGAGTGTTGCAAGAAAGTCGCCATAAAACCTGCCTTGGAGCAGGCCGTGGCTTGCTTGAGGCAGCAACAAAGCTGCTGGTTGTCAACCTTCGCGGGCATGAAGGCATCATTCGCACCTTTCTGAGGCACTGAATTAGTGCTTCGCAAAAGCATAGTGAGTGTGGAACACACCACTTCCTTTGCACTTCTGTCGGTGAATGTCATTGCTCCGAGGCCATGCATGTTTGGCTCGGGATGGCTCGAAAGCTGAAGCCTGAGCTTGGCATCAGCAAAGATCCGTGCCACAGCTGCCAAGGCTGTCACAGCTAGTGCCGACGGAACGGCCCGACTATGGGATGCAGAAACTGGCAAGTGTCAAGCGGTCCTCCGTCATGTCGACGAGGCGCATGCCCAAAAGGTCATTCATGGCCTTTTCAGGGGCAAGGCGTGCCATGACAAAGCGCTTGCAGCTTGCGCGTGTGCTTTGCCACATTCATGGAACGTATTGCTGTTGTATCGGGCGCCCGGAGAAGATGAGACACTGTGTCAGATGCAAGGCTGTTCTCGAACCCAGCATATTTTTCTACAAGCGCTGGTGTAGCTTTTGTGTTTGGTTCATTCTTTGAGCGAATGGTTACCGCGCACAGCTATTTCGGAGCAATTGGTTTGCCCCTGATTTGTTGCTTCTGACCAATTCAGCACGGGAGGAGAGTGTGCCACCTTGTTCCACTCCCTCTCCTTTTTCGGGACCCTGAGATGATCTGCGGTGACGAGCGCCAACCTGCGCATTCGCTGCTGCACCGTCTTTCACCCCCAGCGCTCTCCAGCTAGAAGCCCAGAGGCGCATCGCAACCCTTGCTTGCATGCGTCCGAGGAACTTTCCGCGGCAGCGGCCCAATCTGCTCGATTGTTCCTGGACTTACAGACGCACGCCGCGCAAAACCAAGCTGCTCCAAGGAATATCTGGAAATAGTTATGCGAGAAGAGTCATGCGGCAAACTCACGCTCCGTGCAGAGAGCCACCTTGGTTTTGCAGGTGGACCAGGTGGGAAAGCGGTGTCTGGAAGACAGCGGAAAGTCGAACGTCGCCGAGTTGTCTACAGTAGCTCTCAGACCGCAGCCACCCCGTGCAAATCAATCCTCGTTCCTGGATGTGGAGGTGTCGGTTCTGTTCCGTCTTCTCAAACTGTGCAGAAACCTTGACGCATGCAAGTGCCGGAGGAGTCGGAGGAGCTGCAGCCTTTCTTCGGGCGGCTTCAAATGGACATTTATCAAACGCAAGGTCCGCCAGGTAGCCTTTTCGTCCCATCACATGGTCCGATGCAGGCCCTGCAAGTCTCAGAGCGGCAGCCAAAGAACACCCAAATTACTCCCGCGGCGCGTCATTGATTCGAGCAGCGCAAGCGACCTGAAAAGCGGAATCTTCAGGGTGAGCTTGCCCCTGGCGACGCAGAGTAAAAACAACCTGCCTCGCGGCCTCACGGGGGGGCCCTCAATTCTCTTTGTGGTGGGGCGAGGAGGTTTCAGCTGCCAGAAGCTCGCGGCGTACGCAAGTGGGAAGCAAGCTGCCCATGGCTGTCCCGACACCCATTCGCGTGCTTGTTTGGTTTTCGAGCACCTGGACCTCCACGCGCCCTCCGATCCAGCAGCACCTGGTGAAAATCGGCGGATCACAGCAACACCGCAGCAGCAAGCAGGTCAGGGTTTGCGCGTTTGCTGCAACACGAACGTGGGGGTGCAGGTTCCACATGATCTCCTTTATCGAAGCAAGTGACAGGCCCTGCGTAGACAGAGTTCCTCACGTCAGGAATTGCAGCAGCAGTTTGAAGGGCCTTCCATACCCAGAGTGTAGCTGAAAGCGCGTTGTCCTGAGGAGGTCGGGCAGTGAAGAATTGGCCACCCACCTAGTAGTTTATGGGGGCGCTGTTGGAGTAGGGTTACTTTGCTCCGGCCTCCTTGGGAAGGACTGGGGGCGCGGAGTGGCTGCACTTGCGGCTTGATTCGGACGCTCTTGCGAAAGCGCACTTTGAGAATGGCTGAGCATCGACGTGGGATCTCTCCTTCGTTGTCCTTGGGCTCCGTGGCGTTCTCCACCAAACTGAACTTCCGGTCAGTTGCTCTCTTACCTCCCCAGGCATCTTTCTTCTCTTGTCGTCCAGCACCTCGTGTCAGAGTGGAGGACTCGGAAGCAAAACCAACTCAGGCGAGGCCGAAGCGCTGGCTCCCTTCAGAAGCCCACTCTGAGTGCAGTTTCTGTACTAAACAATTGCACATTTCTGGCTGGAGTTGCAAAGGCGCGCTTCAAGCGTGATGCCGGGCACCGAAAGCTGCACCATTTCCTTTGGACTAGCAGTCCGCAAGCTTTCGCGGTGTACAATTTTTCGCGGAAACCCTCGAGTTTACGTTTGACAATGGCAAGAAAGACCGGTGTTTGCATTTTATCGCTGGATACTGGAACGGCAAGCAACCGCATAATTGTGGCGAGTTATTTTTTTTTCTATCAGAGTAATTAGGTATTGATCAAAGCACTAAAACACAGAACACCGTCTTGCTCACAAGAATTGCTTATTCGCTTGCCACGTCATGCGCCAGCTGCCTGCAAGGTGCTTTGCGCAGCTTTTTCAGCAGATGCTCAGCAAGCCCCAAGCTTGCAGAGTTGCGTTGATTTTGCATATCTTCGCACTTTGGTGTTTTGACGTTGTTTGAAGATATCTGAGTGTCAGTGGCAACCTGCTATCGCCTACTAAGATTGTGACCGGATCATTGGACTCGAAAGCGCGGATCTGGGAGGTCAAAACAGGCCAGTCAGACCCTTCAACATGAGTTAGCATGCTGGAGCAGATCTGGTTAACGAGGGCCTTCCAGGCTGCTAGATTTGGAGTTGCTCGCAGGAAAGATCAAAGAGCTGGCAGGCCACAGGCAGGGCTTGTGTCAAGCGCTCAGAAAGAGGCAAAGAACACGCAGCTACCCGATTGGCGGATAGTGTGGGGTATAGTCTTTGGGAATCTTCTGGGAGGAGCCTACGCTTCCAGACGTAGTCATGTTAACCTGAAGGTGGATGTTCTCGGAAAAGTTGTTTGCCACATATTCGCATAATTTGAATAGTATGTTGGTGAGCGCCCCGTTTGCCCCAAGCTCTAGCTGGGCATTTCGGCAACGATGCCAAGCATTGAAGCACGTGTGTGGATACTTCATCATTCGTAGCACGTGACATTCAATAGTTGAAGAACGTGCGGACCCGGACAAGTATGTTTGACGCTGACTCATGATTGTGTAATTGCTAATTGCATAGTCTGCGACTGCTCATTCGCAACACAACTTAGGCAACTGGGAGGGGTGCCATCTTGTAGTCGAGGAAACTCTGTCAGGAATGGAGCTTTGAAGGATGAGCGTCATCCACCAAGCACACAGAGACACACATGTGCATCGTTTGATTCAGATGGGCAGTCAATGCTGCTGCCTTCTCTAGAGCTGATGCCTCAAGCAAACGTTCTGCGAGAGAGTCCAGCAGCGCCCATTCATCGCATTTCATAGCTTTGAGACTGAGATATGCTGAGGATGGCCGCACAGTTGTCACAGGATCCGATGATCGCACTGTAAGGCAGGATGGCTGCAGGTCCGGCCCAAATTGGCAAACCAGCTTGGCCCAGAGCCAAAACCAGGGAATGCCATGGTACGCGGCCCTGGATGTCCATATGGCTGACATATCTTTCTACCTGGCCAATGAATAGTCAATCGGGGCCCAAGCGGCTGATGGAGGCTAAGGAGGCTCACGGTGTGCAGGTTGTGAAGGCTAAATAGCATGCAGCTGTAAGCCAGCTTGGAGGATTTCGGTCAGGCAGGCGATGACAAGGGCCATGTGGTCGTGGGAAACGGGCTAGCCACTTTGCTTTAGATGCAGCTAGAGCCAGATTTGCCAACGTCAGGATTTGGGATGTCGAGCGAGGCATGTGTGTGGGCACCTGAGCACCAGCCAGAGATACCGGAGTCAACCGGCATCGGACATGCGGAAGACAAGGTCAATGTCCTCGAGGGTCACCGGAGCCCTGTGACGGAGGTTTGTTTTGTGGATTAATGGAGAAAAGGTTTGCAGACGCGGTGTGTGTTTCGCAGTTAGACTGATACCATGGCCTGCCTGATCTTGCATCAGTCGTTTTCATCGCCCACAGGCCTCTACTCCACGACGTGGATCATGGCTATGGTTTCCTTGGCCGATTGGATGTGTGTGGGGCTTAGCTGATGATACATGATGATACTGTGCACTTGCACCATGCTACTATGTTGCACATGCACTC